GCAGTCCCTTGATGTCGTTGCTCACATCCGCTTTGGAGGCGGTGATCAGCTCATCAGCGGCTCGCAAAAGCAAGCCGAGGATGTGGGTATCGTTCCAAGCACCTTGAGATTTCCACTCGTTCTTCAGATCGTCTTCTGTCTCCTTATCCAACTTTTCGAGAGTAGACTTGAGAAGAGAGATGACCTCGGGGGTAAATTTGTCTGCGTCTCCGGGGAGAGCTGGTACAAGCGACAATATCTGCCCCAGCACCCTCCTTTCTTCCGACTCCAATTGTGATTGACCCAGACTCTGCAAGAGACCGACAAGGGCAGAGACTAATGATTGTCTCCATCGACCTCCTTGGACGTTCGAGAGACCTCCGGAAAGATACCCGGAGGAGGCGAGGTTGTTGAGAAGGACAAGGGTGGAGAGGGGGTCGGTGTTCAGGGAAGAAAGAGAAGCCCTACGGAAGAGTCAGCGATGATCAACTGTATGAGTGTAGTGCTCACTTGGCAACATGAGACAAAATGAATTGCTCAACACCGGTCCACTTCAGTGCCACCAAAGCGTTGACGAACGCGAAACACTCATGATCGTCCTGGATTTCATCAGCATAAGGTATCATCAGTACAACCAATGACTCACAAGACTTTGCCACAATTTGTCTATGAGCACAACACCAGGGCTGAGCCACTGAGCAAGCTGTCCGGCCTGCAACGCCCCAACGACACCAGACACGAGCCATTTTCTGAACGCTCCTCTTGTCTCCTTTTCCTCCTCAACGAGATCCTCCTTCACGACCGCCTCGTTGGTCAACTTTGGAATGAGCTCGACGAACCTCTGCATGAGAGGTTTCAAGAGTGGCGAGGGGAACCGCTTTCCCTTGCGGGTGAAGAGGAAGGCCGAAAGAGTGTGAAGGATGGCAGTGGTGGAGGATAAGGAGGTAGCTTTGGATAGTCTGTCGAGGACGACCTCAACAATAGGCTGGTTGACCGATGCAGAGGTATGGTGGACGAGGGCAGTGCTGACCAGGGAGAGGGTGTTTGTCTGCTGAGCACTTGGCGAGTTCACCAAGTGATCAAAGAGGGCGGTGTAGATGGCCACACCTCTCGAATGAAGCTGCCCAGAAGCACCCTTCATACTGTGCGCCCACACAGCTTCCATTCCTTGAAAATCACCACTCAGCAACAGATCCATCAATCTGTTCAACCCCTCCGACCTCGCCTTCCTAATCACACCTGTCCAAGCGTCAGCGACGCATCGCCTGACATAGGACCTGTTGGCTTTTGGGGCGAGGTAAGGATACAGATTCTCCCATGTCTCCTCCAAAGCAGCTTGGGCGGCGGCGTTGGATTTGAGAAGGGAGGAGGCGATCGTTCGGAGGATGAGAGAGAGGGTGGAATATGTCCTCTCCACAAGTTTGGGGTCGAGAGCTCGAAGGGAGCCCACTCTCAGAAGATCTTTCACTGTCTCTGGGACATACACAACAGCCTCCCCGATACAGGTCTCGTAGAGAGCCTGGTGCAAGAAGAGCACCGAATCAAGACCGGAGTGGGTATGCTCGTGCCCATCGGCAAGGTTTGAGTAAAAGTTGTGAAAGACTTTTTGGATTTCGGGGAGATTGTGGAGGGTGATCGGGAGAGAGTTGGTGAGGGGAATCAAGATGCGTTGAACATCTTGGTAGGGGATGGTGAGGTCGAGCAATGAAAGGCGTTCGATTTCAGAGGTTAGAGGGGTGCTCTAAGTTTCGTCAGTATGCCCCTTGATATTGGCGAATAGACCCACTGTCTGCTCAGTGTCCTCATTGAACTCTTCCTTCTGCCATCCCAGACCTCTCTGCTTGCCGACATCGACTGAGATATTTTTGAGTTGTTGGTTGTAGGTGGTGTACCTAAACCTTTTCTGTGGCGGTTCTTCCATGTTAAGTTGAGTTGACTTATCTACCTGTGGTTCCCGTGAGAGGGCGACAGGTGGAGATTGAGCCGAGGGAGTGGTATATGGACGAGCGATAGATACATGACACCAAAACAAAATCTCTGAAATCTCTGCAGGCGGCGGTCGCCGCGCCGGGTGGTTGGTGGAGGCAGGTCACCAACGTTGTGCGGCGACGGACTGAACAAGTTCAGATAGAGCATAGCAGCCTGGCTATACATACAATGAAGGAAGGGGGCGCATACGATACCGCTGAGGCTGGCCCTTTAAGACCACGGCTCAATACTCAGCGCGCTTGGTCCGCAAACGAGGTTCTGGCACCGAGCAGGTCCAGGTCTCCAAGCTCTACATCTTCTGCATTGGACGAAGGCAATGAGAGCGAGAATGACGAACATGAGATAGAGGTATGATGCCATATGCTCTGCTGGCATGGCCCGAGCTGACATTTCCCAGGCTCAGTCAGTAGAGGATTCAATCCCAAACCGCCCGTCCTTCCAGCAACGCCAATCCCAGGTGGCCCCTCGGCGCAAACCTCACCTTCCTCACCTTTCCCTAGACCTGCCCCTCCACACCTCCGCATCAGAGATATTCTCGCATCCCCAGTCCGACTCGCCTATGATCGATGGAGACGGTATCGAGACGGAGGGTAGAGGTGGTGCAAAGATGAGCTACTCTAGTCTACCTCCGTCGCCCAGAGGAGAGTTTATGGGGACGCCCAAAGAGGATATAAGGGTATCGGGGAAGGATCTGAACAATCTCCTCGGGGATCTGGAAATGAAGCAAAGGGGTGTAGGGGAGGAAGCGGTCAATCTTGACACGGAGAGCGAGACGGAAGTGGAAGGAGAAGAGTTTTGGCCAGCACGCTCCAGAAGGCCCACTCTCAGTGAAGAAGATAGCTATCGTCGTTCGACCGACGACGACGAGCTTACATCCCCCACGTCTGCTGCTGTTGATACTGACTCGACACGCCGGGGCAGCGACGTCAAGCTTGGACCGATACAGTCCAAAACGGACGTTCTCGGGATATGGGACCTTCTGAAGGATGAAATGGGTGCAGAGGATTGGGATGGTTGGGTCGTAGATGGCAAATGGTGAGACTTTCCTCTCGTAAGATACTTCTAGTGTTGACTTGAATAAAGGGAACGCATAGCAAACTTTCTTGCTGTGCCCCTCGCCGTGGAGAAGACAACCCTCTTCGGTGCTCTCCTCTGTCTAGATGGCTTCCTCTACAACTTTACCGTTCTCCCTATCCGCTCATTATTCGCCCTGACTCGGATCTTCAACAGTCTAGGCATGGGAAAAGGATGGTGGCCTATACCGCTTGCCCATATAAACTCGATATTGCGCATGTTGCTGTTAGTCATACCAACAGTGGTATTACTGATAGCCACGGACGCAAGTAAGATGTATCACACTGTAAGGGGGCAGGACACCATTAAGCTCTATGTCATCTTCAATGCTTTGGAGGTGAGTACTCTCTCCAACATGAGTGTGCCTTGCTGACTCTGTGAAGATTGCAGATAGACTATGCTGTGCGTTTGGACAAGACGTCCTTGACACACTCTTTGCCAAAGAAACACTATCACCAAGCGTTCGTAAACGCGGGAAAGGTCGAAAGCGCCAACAAGCCAGACCAGCATTCTTCTTTGCCCTCTCTCTGGGATACGTTTGTGGGTATCGCTACCTCCTTTGCGACCCGATACTGACCAGGTATGCAGTATGCCATTCGCTCATATTCTTCTACATGCTGGTGTCGTTGAATGTGGCGATCAACTCGTATGACTACACGCTGCTTTCACTTTTAATCAGTAACCAGTTTGTCGAAATCAAGGGCTGTGAGTACCATCTATTGTGACGCTGTAACAAAGTTGACGGATCATCAAGCCGTCTTCAAAAAGTTTGAAAAAGAGAATCTATTCCAGATCATGTGCGCCGATATCGTCGAGCGATTCCAGCTCAGCCTGATGCTCGCCGTGATTGCACTTCGTAACATCATCGAGATGTCTGGCTCTGAGATTGCCTTTTTGCCCAAGAGTTTTATGAAGGGCAAGAGTCTGGTCGATTCCATCCTTTCCGTATGCTTCCTTATCTCTCCGCCTACAAGCATACTGACACTACTCCCAGCCAATCTTGTTTGTGATCATGTCAGAAATGATAGTCGACTGGCTCAAACATGCCTTCATCACCAAATTCAACCACGTCCGCGCATCAGTATACGAACGCTTCACCGACGTACTCGCCAAAGACGTCCTTCTAGCCGGCTCAGTCTCGTCCTCCGCTCCTCTATCCGACAAGAGACGCCAGCTAGCTGGTAGGCACCGCATCTTGCTCGACCAATCGCCCCTCGTTGCCCGCCGGTTGGGGTTCGCGTCGATACCGCTGGCTTGTCTTGTCATCCGTGTCGCTTTCCAGGCTATAGGAATGCTTACGACGCAGCATGGGTCGTATGCTGACGAGCGTGGGGAGCTTGGTACTGGAGGTAGCTGGGATAGTGTATGGGCGGGGTTGAAGGTGGCGAGCTGGGTTGGTGTTGGAGTTTGCGCTTGGGGATGGTACGTTTCTCGGGAATCTTTTTGATCTTTGCTGATGGAACATTAGTCTGGTTTTTCTCAAAATCATCCTGGGTCTTTCATTACTTGGTTATTCAGCAATGCGTCAAGAAGGCATGGACGATCGAGAAGAAGAAGACAAGGTCAACGATTTCGGCCGTTCAGCCGTTGGTGAGAGCAAGGAGGAGACTGTGAGTATATCCGAGGATTGGGAACACCAGCTGACCTGTCGGGCAGGAGTACAATCGCCAGACCAAAGAGTACCTCACCCAGCCAGCAGACGATCTACCCGACTATCCTTCGTTTGCCACTTCAAACTCCTCCAAGGGTTCTGTGCCTTTGCCGAGAGCAAAACAATCCAATGACCATCGAGAGAAGGAGGGATTTGCGGAGGAAAAGGCGAAATCTGGTGGCGGAAAGAAGGGCAAGAAATGGCGATTGGAGGAAGTCGAACGGTGGACGATGGTGAAACGCATCTGGTAATCCGAATGCCGATATCTTCTGTATTATTGTAGTGTTTGCACACATGTAACCAACATACTCGCCCGCACTGTAGAGCGCTCGCGTCCAGTTTACAAGTAATACATCCGAGTCCCTTGAACTTATTCCTCCTCCTCCACAGGAGCAGGCTTGGCGGGGGTGCCGATGCGTAAACTTGAGCCCTTCTGCTTGCCGGCCCAGTCGTACTTTTGCTAATGGTCCAATTCGTTAGCACCCTGTCCACTTGTATCATTCCAGTATGTCTTTGCTCACATCAGTGGCCATGGCGATAGAGGCAACAAGGGCGGGGACAGCTACGGCCCAGGTGATGACTTGGGCCGTCTTTCTAGGAGTGAACTTGAAATGTTGATAGACGTTCTCACGCTGAATACAGTGTTAATTTTATTTCAGAGCCCCCGGAGTTCCTCATGCTCACCATCTGAGACCATCGCTCAATAGCGGGGTCAAGCTACACAAATACCATCAGCATCTCTAAATATGTCGGACCTGCGCGTCTGCGACAAACCTTGACCGGTTCTACATTTCAAGCATCAGCAATGCACTCTTATGCTTTCATATACTCACGGAAATGCCCGTGTCCTCCAGCCATGGTGTGTTGTATGCAGTCGCTGATGTCTGTGAGATGCATTCTCTCGCTCCCCGTTGGTTGCGCAGAGAGAGGTCTATTTGCTTCCGTTCATATAACGCCGGCAATCTCCGCCTCCACGCGTCCGTTGACAGCTAATGCAAGCTGAATGTTGGGTTCACTTCTCGTCATCGCCATGTACCGCCACCCACGCTCTCCCTCTCCGGGCAACTACAGGAGCAGACCCTACTCGCCCTCGAGGTCTTTCGAAGACGATCGCGACAGATACCGCCGACGGTCCAGGTCTCCAGTTCAACGAGAACCCTACTACGAGAGACGTTCGCCTCCTCCGCCCAGAAACGAACCCAGATACCACGACTACCAGCAGTATCCCCAGCAATATGCTCAGCAGTATCCTCCTCAGAGGGCCGATGACTACCGACATGAGGAATACGGCTACGACAGGCGCCCAGAGCCATATCGCGAACCGCATTACCAGCCACCTGTTCGCGATGACGATAGGTGGTCGCATCATCGTCACTTGCCAGCCCGCGATGATACGGCTGCATATGATGACGTATACATGAACCCCTCACATGCTCCCCCACAAGCGGAGTTCGAAAGGAGAGATCAACATGACTCTAGAGACAGAGTTGTTCACAGAGAGCAGCCGGTATACGTATGTCGAGGTCTTGGTGTTCCGGTGTAATACTGACTGTATCTTGTAGGGCGAGAGGAACCCTCCATCTGAACAAGCTCCTCCCCCAAGGTCTTACTCGGAGTCCAAGCCGCGCGGCCGTGCACCTTCCGAACAATCAAAAGATGTCATCCTTTTAGGCCTTGATCCCGAACTCACAGAGACCGAGGTACGGCACATGTCAAAGACCCTTCCTGCCAGTAGCTGACCATTATTAGCTCGGAAAGTTTCTTCAAATCGAACACAAAGCAGCCTTGTCGAGTGTCAAAATTGTCCGCGACCGAGGTGGGCAGTCCAAGGGATTCGCATTTGCTTCGTTCCAAGATTTGGAGGGATCAAAGGCTTTCATAAACGACAAGTGAGAACTGACCACCAGATCACGATACACTGCTCAAATGTCACATAGCTACCCGACTATCCAAATGCCCGCTCTTCATGCTCACTCCGAACCCCGCAATGTCAAAATCGATTTCTCCGCTCCCCCTCCTGGTGGACACTATCAACGACCAGCTCATGATGGGACGCGCGACATTGGAGTAGCCGGCGGAGGCAAACGTGTCCTGTTGGTTCGAGGCTTGACATCCTCTACGACATCATCCGATGTCATCTACGCCGTGAGCAAGGAGATTGCTCGAATGATGGGACGGCAGGGTCAGGAATCAAAGGCCGAGAGCACAATCGTACGAACGGTGATGATTGTCGAGAAGGGTTTGAGGAGCAGCTGGGGCTTTACTTTTGTTGAATTGGCCTCAAGCGAAGTACGAGGAATTGTTGTCATCATCAAGTTTCGCTCTAACGTTGACTACAGCTGGCTGCTGCCCTCTTACCATTCCTGATATCGCCTCAACATCAACCCAGTGGCTTTGTCATCAACGGCGTCCCTGTGGCTGCCTCTTTCGCCGACCCCGCAGCTTTTGCACCCATGCCGGCCGGTCCTCTTGGCGGCGAGCACCTCATCCGCGCCTCCCGCCACGGAGGCATTGGCTACGAAACCATCGATAAGCCGGATGGCACATGGGTCGCGTATCGCCTCGAGCGAGCAGGCCCCAGCGAGATTGTGCCCCGTGGTGCCCCTAGCATCAAAGAGGACGGCACGGTTGAGCTTACACCCGAGCATCGTTCCTTCCTCGGTAGCCTCGCTGGTGCGCCTCCTCAGGCCCTTGCCGCTGCGTCTGTCGATGCTGCCAAAGCGATACAGCAGGCTGGGATTAAATCGGTCAATCTGAGTGGGAGTATGGCACCCATTAGATTGGGGGGTATGGGGAAGAGCAAGAGAAAGGAAGAGCCAGCAATCGTCACAATTCAGCAAAAGAGAGCAAAGGTGGACCTCGAGGGCGATGAGGAGGAGGATACGGTTGGAGCAGACTCTAAGCTTCTCTCGAGGAGTACGTGTGACATCAACGAAAAGAGCATCCAGCTGACGATGCGGTAGCAAAAGGCGCCAAGATCATCCCGCCGACGTCAAACAGCTCGAAGGTGATCATCAGGCCTTTGACTTACCGGTTTTCGTCCAATGTGCACGTGCTCACCCTTTTCCTACAACCCTTAGATCCTCAAGAATATCAGCAAATGGAACACCAAGCAGTCCGAACTTGCTGCTCCAGATTCGATCCTTGAGACAGGTCGCCCAAAGGGTGTATCAGAAGCAAACGCTACCCTTGGTACCAGGCGACAGTCGAGCTCAAACAAGTCTGCCCCACCCGTCACAGTAAAGCCATTCATCTCTTGCTTCATCCCAAATTACCGTATTAACGTGTTTATCCCGTCCTTCAAAGACGTCTGCTGGCATTACTTCGGCCTCAGCGACGGCCCCGGCGCCAGAACCAGCTGCTTCGACACCAGACAATTTTGACTATACGGATATATCATCGTTGGCGTCCACTGGCAAAGTCGCTTGCCTCTTGTGCCAAAGGCAATTCAAAGCGGAGGACATACTCAGGAAGCACGTTGCTCATTCGGATCTCCACAAGGCTCGCAACTTTTTGTTTAATGTCTCTGGCAATCCCTCGTGGGTACCAGAGTCGCTTAGAGCAGTATACTGACCTGTGTCTGGACGTTCTCTTTACTTCAACTTCGAACTCCATGTCCAATCATACCATACAGACCAATCTACGGGATCCCACCGTCTGCCAAGCCGGTCAACGACGCAAAGCCGCCTCTACCCCGTCCTCTTCTTCTACCCCCGAGCCCGCTTCCACTCAATATCGAGACCGAGCTGCCGAGCGTCGCGAAACATATCATCAGCCGGCCAAACCTACTCGCGCCGATTTGAACGCCCTCACTTCATCTACAGCAGCGTACCAGGGTATTCGAACTTTCCCATCCAAGCCCTCCAAGGACAGGGCTGCTCCTCCCCCACCTCCACCCCAGGAGGAAGTCAAGAAGGAAGAGCCCAACGTGGGGAACAAGCTTCTATCCAAGATGGGCTGGCAGTCTGGAGAAGGGCTGGGTGCAAATGGAGAAGGGAGAGCTGAGCCCATCAAGGTGCAGCAATTTGAGGCGAGAGCGGGTTTGGGAGCGTCAAAGGGTGTGGAAGCTGGAAGGTGGTCAGGGCCAGGAGGATGGCAGCAGAGAGGCAAGGATGTGGTAAGTACACCGTCGAATCCCAGATGTTCTTCTTTGGTGGCAAAGTTTTGGGCTCACTTGAATGCGTCATGCAAGACTCGAGACAGGTTCAACTCGGAGCCCAAGCAACAGTGATTGAGTTTCGATCTGCTTGTTGCATAGTGCGGTATTTTCTATAGACATGCATGCTATGACGGAATCGTTATCCAAGAATCAATTTAAGCTACTCTGTATTGTGGAATCGTAAAGCACTGTCCTCTATAGTGTCTCAAATGAAATCGTCCAGCTCTTCTGCACTTTTGTCAGCTTGACAGTGTTTGGATCGATGCTCAGTTTGACTTCATCTCCCAGACCAATTTCGGACGACAAGATCGCCTCCGAGAGCTCCGTCAACTTGCGCCTCACTACAGCAGGCGTCGTCGCTTCTTCCGGTTCCCCATTCATCTTCTGATCAACTTCTTCCGTAGAGTCACGAGCTTGGTCCTCTTGCATGACTAGATATAGAGTATCGGTAGGTTCCAGCGTTGCTGATTTGCTCCTCCTGTGGGCACGAGGAGTGGAGTTCGGGCACTGCGGGAGTCTCGTAGCGTTGCGTCTCTGGATAGCGGGAGGATGGTGCTGATGAACGAGCTGGTGGTCTTCGTCGGCGGGAGCGATGGCTCGGGGTGCGCATGGGGTGAATATTGGCAAAACGGTCGTGTAAGCGCCCCGGGCGATAGGGGACAAGGGCGACGAGGAGTGCTTCTTCTGTAGAGGGCGCGGTCCGGAGGGGGGCGTGATATGGAGGCGAGAGAGGTCAGGGATAGTCCGTGGGGAGGCGACTAGCTTTGACCTAGAGGGTGTGGTAGGAGTCACGGCAGGGAGTCGACTCTTTGGGCTAGCCAGGGGCGAGGTGTTGATGGGAGGCAGTGGCTTGGTCTGTAAAGTCCATGGTACGATGCTGTCCTTGCTTGGTATCTGCTCCTCGTTACTTGTCGCAGAAAGTGGGCAAGGGGGTCGAGGGACAGAGATGCTGGTGACTAGGGCGGACGGTGTCGGGCCTTGGGGGCTGCAAGTCCATCAGCTATATATCCAGTAGGTGCCCAAAAGAAGAACTGTATACCCTTGTGTAAGTAGCTGCCCGACCTGTGGCTGGGGGAAAGCCAGAATCTGAGTGCTGAATGTTGGAGAGCTGACAGCGGAACTTTCAGAACTGAAAAGCGTCAGACCCTGAGAGTTTACAGCAATCAAAGACGATATGAAACCTACCAGGTTCCAGAGCTATAATGTAGTTCCATATTCTCCGCCTCGCTCAGCAGCTCGTTCATATTGTCGTGCTCAAAGAACCTAGGAACTCTTAGCGTGGAAGCTTGGTCCTAGTCAGCCCGCCACTCACCTGCTGCCTGATGTGGTTGACAACGCTTGCGCAGGTGGTTCAATTGACCTCAAAGCATCTAGTATCGGGCGACCGTGTTCTGGGTTTGTTATGGAGCTATGGAATCTGAAAGACAGGTCAGTCTCTCGCACGGCTGATCGCTCGACCATGACTCACGGGTGTGAGCGATGCCAAGAGACTGTATCCCTCACAAGGTCGTAGAACGCCATGCGGAAGGCCATCTCATCTTTGTCCCGTGGGGTCGCTGCAACGCATACTCGCTGAAATAGCGCAAACACGCCAGCCCGTTCATCTTCGGTTAAGCCTTCGCTGATGACTAGGGGAAAGAACTCGCGACTACGGGTTACGATGTCGTTTCGTATGATGTCCCAGCTAAAAGTATTTCTGCGTACAGAGTCAGCAGGATCCTGACCGTATCAGATCTTCAAGTGGATGGCTTACATGGGTGAGCAGAGCGATAGGTGTGCAGGGTGTGGCCCAGAGGTAATCGCACTGGGCGAGCAGGGCGCTTCAGATGGCGCGTGTGGATGTTGGAAGGGGTCCATCATGCTCGCACGAGCTCGGGATGAATTGTATTGGTATATCTTGCCCAGATACTCAGCTAGATGGCTTTGGGCGAGCTGCAGATGAATGGTCAACTTGCTTGTTCGAGCTGAGAGAAATACAATAACAACAATTGCCACACCGGCTACAGGTGGCGTCACGGTCTTCCGGCTCGGCATCCTCGCCTCCCGAGACCGAGACCGAGCGAGACCGAGCGAGACCGATCACGTGTGAGAATTCCGGCCATACATCTATCTTCGAACTCCCTCGTATTACCCCCAAGAACAAACAGTATGTTAGACCACTCACTGGCACCCGACTTGGCAGTCCAGCCTGCGACTGCCCCGACAGCGACACCCATCAAACAGCGTGAGTGTCGTCGTGCCACGGAAAAGCTGGTTGCTGGTTGCTGACTTTCGCTTGACGGTAGGAGCAAGTACCGCACTGGCAAAGTGGGTATCAGGGTTCTGCAAGTATAACCATGCTTTCAAGAAGCTGATCATGATTCAGAGGACTGGCGTGTGAAGGATGCAAAACGAGAAAAGTGGTGAGCATTGTCAATAACAACGAATAACAACGCAATGCTACTACAGGGTATGGGGGCTGATCAGGGTGTTCCAGAAATGTCCCGCAGAGAAGCCGGCCTGTAAGAACTGTGTCCGACAAGGGAGGCAGTGTCACTATCCTGAACCCCGTTTGTATCATTCCTTTGGCCAGATAACACAACATTTCTGACGTGAGCGCAATGAGGACATGGCACGACAGGCAGACAAACTATTACTGCTCAGCCGAGTGTCCATCGGTACAAATCCCATGACAGTCCGAAATTGTGAGCTGGTCACGAGAACGCAATCAAAGACCTTTTATTGATATCGTGATCCAGAGCTTTTGCACCATACACATCAAGTATGCGCTCTTCCCAGCAACCTGCACCACTGCCACGAGTTCAACAAGTGACCTCGTCTTCCAACATGCTCTCCATCTATCCTTTGTCCGCGGAAACCTCCCAGAAACTGCCGTCGGGCTTGGAAGAATTGGACCTTTCATGGTGTTTGTCGGGGCCCTTGATGAATTCTGCGCATACAGCATCTCTACCGGATCTGACTGCAGCAGAGCAAGAGCAATGGTGAATTCTTCTACCGAAACAACGTTTGAAGAGCGCTGATGAATTGAACTCTGAAAATTAGTTTGTGGCTGTACTTTTCCAGAATGGACTCTGTTGTGGTAGAGATGAATATCGCGCGATTCTATGAGCGACTCGCGGCACCGGACCCTGTTGATCGACCTCACCTAGCACTCTTGAATGCCATGGTGAGCTGTTCTACGCCTCTCCCTTGTTGATCCCGCCGCTAATTGAACATTCAGTTTCTGACTGTGTCTAAGGTCTCACCACTCGAGCACGTCCGAGCCCAAGAAGAGGAGCTGTTCAACAAATCTGAGAAGCTGTTCAAAAGCGCTCTCCGTGATATGGCGGTCGTGACGAACAACACGGTCGACCTGGTGCAGTGCGCAGTTTTAATGTCCGTGTGGCTATGGGGACGATGTCGGGAAGCCGAGGTTGGTCTATCAAGCTCTCATATTGTGTGTTTTGACTGAATTCCGCCAGGCATTCTTTATGACAAGTACTGCTTGTCGGTAAGCTCCTGTTGGTCATTGCAAGCAGATCGCTAAGGATACTCTCAGACTGTCCCTTTTCGGCGGCTTTGAGCAGATATCGGACTCTAACAACGTCAAGGGGCCTGGCGAGAGCCTTCTTGTACAGGCTCGAGGATCAATTTGCCCTCCAATGCGAGACGCAGTAGAGTTGGCAGACAGGATCTATACCTTGTAAGTGGGCATGTACATAAGACTAAGACGATATTGACCAAGATTTAGCTGGGCGGTGATAATGCTTGATCTTACGGGGTCTATAGCTACCGGAATCCCGCCCAACATAGACATCACCGCCATCCGGACACCTCTTCCAAGGCCTTGGGTAGAGTATGGAATGGCAAGTTCACTTACTGGTATCCGGCTACCGGACGGTCGAGCTGACAGTCCATCAGGAACCACAGACAGAAGACAGTTATCTGATTGACCTATTTACCCCAAAATTCTGTACCGGCCCGCCCAGTCAGAACGAATGGTATGCACGCTCAAACATGCGACAACGATATGCGCTGACGTTACAGGCCGCATTTTATTCGGGCTACCGTGCTTCTCCATCTCGCTATTGCAAAGGTCACAGATTCTCGACAAGGCACACCCTGGCGTGACTTGGAGCAGATGTCCCCAAACACCCCAAGTTCAGTCGTGTTGGGGTCCTCAGAGTCATCTTCCGCTCGGGATGGATTTCGGAGAAGGCCTTGCTTGGATCTGGAAGGGGCTGTTGAGCGATTTGCAGCCGAGCTACCGCCGGAATTCAAGTCTCTCGGCTCCATCAACTCCTCTCAACGGAACTCTCAGGTCATCATGATGGTCAGTCTCAATTTTTCCCGTGAATGAGTCTGAGCTGACTTTGTCATTTCCTCCACTAGCAAACAACTCTTGCTTGCATTCGCATGTATCTGGCAGATACCAACGACTATACATCGCCCAACGATGCTGCTCTGTATCAAGCGCGCAAGATAGTAGACATGGCCAAGTTTGTGGAATCAGGAGTGAGTATTTCGAGTTGTTTCAGTGGCATGCGATGCCTGCTCACGAGATACCCTTTTTTCGCCTGCGAAAGGCCCCGCTGGTCCCCAATCTATGCTTATACGTGTATGTCCATCGTCCAATGGAAAGTATGGCCGAGTTGCTTATGTGCTGTTCTTAGCATGTGGGTCAAAACCGTCAAGCTCCTCACACGGGAGGTAAAGCGGCTGCAACATATCGGCGAAGCACTAGGTAGTTTCTTTTTCTAACCATGATCTTTGTCAGCTACTGACAGATCAATAGCAGCTATCTCGTTGGAGTCGGACGCCAACACGCTGTTCAAGAGCTTGGAGTCGGCAGCTGAGCATTCTCCGTTGGTGTGAGTGGTAAAAGGGATCGTCTTTGGAATTGCGCTCATATCTTGACGACAGAGCCTCGACGCTCAGTACGACGCTGCAGTCTGTACGGGCTGCGACTTTGCCTGTTCAACAAGAAACCCCAATATCGGTTGCGGATAGTCTTGGACGGACAGCCAGTTCCGAGTATAAGTCTCCTCCTCAGGGAAAGAACGGCACGCCTTGCTTGTAGCCACTGGCGTATATGACATTAGTTCTACTTTCAGGCCACGAGCGCCTGTCGTATATACTTTCGACATCCTTCTGTTGTTACTGTAGATGTACCATAGTATCGCTGCAGACTCAAACGATCATTATCGATTCATCTCTCAATCCAAAGGTAGTCATAACTCATAAACCAAGCATATCCGTCATCTACCGCAGCAAAACAACAAGTCTATTTTTTGCCAGCGATAAACACGCCCAAAATCACCACACCCAAAAACCCAATCGCCGCCGGCAAGACCATATCCTTGGGCAAGAACCCAGCCACAAGCTCCTGTCCATCGCTCGACCTGATCGTACGACCGTGGTCTTGGTACTGCGGAGCGTGCACGGGGTGAGCCGATTTTTCAGAGGTATACGTAGGTTCGGTCGCGGGGTTGGCGGTGGGAGCTACGAGCGCGGCTTCTTCGGGGTCGACGGCGGCGGCTGGGGTGGCGACGACAGGAGTGGGAGCTTCTTCGACGGCGGCAGCTTTGAGAGCTTCCACAGCCTTCTCGCCGCCCAAGTCTTTGGCAGCGGCTTCCCAGACCTTGCCTCCGTCGACGACCAACACCACTCGGTCGGTCTTTTGGTTCCTCGCGATCCTGACGGCGTCTTCAACATCACCGTCCGCAGTCATGGTCACCAGATCTCCCTCGTCATCATTGTAGTGGAGAGTAAAGACATTGGGGTCAGGAAGGTGAACCTCGGTACCTTCAGGCGCGGAAGAAGCCGCAAAGAAGGGGTCCGACACGAGCTTGCCAGCGACAATGTCTCGGAGGAGATCGAAAGAGTCGTATCGAGCCTGGAACCTGTGTGTCCTGCCAGAAGGCGTCTTGAACTTGAACACGTAGGTTCCGTCGTCCACTGGCAAAGGAGGCGCGACGCTGGAAGCAGCACCACCTCGCTTACCACCGATATCGGAAGCACCGTCGTCTACAGCAGAGGCAGAGTCGTTGGGCATGATCTCGGAAATGGGAGAAGTCATGCTGGAGAGACCACGGCCGTGGCCGAGGTGAGAGCGCGAAGGGGTATCGGGGCGTTCCGAGGCGGACACGATGGAAGCGGTGTCGTCGTCACCACCAGCACCGGGGAGACCCTCAAAGAACTTGGACCACATGGGTCCACCGCTTTGGTTGTCTTGGTCTTCGCTCATGGATTCGATCTGCCCGGGGTTAGTCCAGTTGACGAGATATGAGATAAACTTGCCTGTTCAAGAGTAGCATAGGTGAGCTTGAGCACATCGACAATGCCGATGAGTCTGCCGTCAGACTCGACAACGGGAAGGTTGAGATAGTGACCATCTACTTTTGTCAGCATGAACCATTCACGGGCGCATTTGACTCACTGTGCATCTTTTTCAACGCGTCCTGGACGACCATGGTGGGAGGAGCCGTGTCAGGGTGGGGAGTCATGACCCTGACCACCGAACATCTCTGCGCATCCAAACCGGCAGCAATGACTCGCAGCACAACATCCTTACTGGTAAAGATACCAGCAATCTTGGGAGGTGCACCGCCAGAAGAAACACCGGAAATGGCCGACGTCCCGTGGTTGGCCTCCATGACACAGACAGCGGTGGTTCGGCGCTCCTTCATGAGCCTGGCAGCATCACGCACGCTAGTTCGAGGGGTGACGACAGGAGGCGACGATCGGAGATCGAGCACGGTGGTCAGGTCGGGCAACGCCATTCGCTCACGAAGAGTCTCGACGTAGGCGAGCATGGCAGCCGCCTGAGGATTGCCTTGCATACCAGGACCAAGCTCGGTCTGGACACCGGCGAGAGCGGCAGAGAGCTGGGAGGTAGCGGTGGATCCACGCTCGACCTTGGCGAGAGCCTCGTGGAAGACCTTGGTGATATCGAGGAGACCGACGACGTCACCGTCCTCGTTGCAGACCGGGAGATGCCTGAAACCACGGCTGACCATGAGCTGCAAAGCTTCGGTGGCGCTGGTAGTGTCACGGGTTACCATGGGGTTCTTGGTCATGATCTGAGAGACGGTAGTGATCCTGGGATCAAGGCCTTCGGCAGTGACCTACAAGCTTGTCAGCGCGGCGCCCATACGACGAGTTGACTCACTCTGAAAGCGAGATCCTTGGCAGTAAAGATACCACTCAATCCCTCTTCCTCGTCGACGACCAAGACACAGTCGGCACGCTTGGCAGCACAAAGCTGACTCGCGTCGGCCACGCTCATCCCCTCGGGCACGGTCAAAGCAGGACTAGGCCTCAGTCCAGCGACAGTCCCCTTCAAAGCACGCTTGCTCTGCCTCTTGTTACCTCCCCCCGAAACCTGCTGGGCATTCTGCGACCCGGGGCGCTTTCGGGAGAGCTCTGACTCAATCTTCTTGCGCAAGGACTGGAGTTTGCCAGCAAAAGATGAAGATTGCGAGCGGGGGATGGTGTTGCGCGAGACGGAAGAATGGTAGCGAGGGCGTGTGTCGTCGGGTTCGGGTAGCGACATTGGTGTCGTTGTGCCAGATCCAGCGTTGATAGTCGACGATGAAGGCGACGTGACGTGCGAGTGGACGGGCACAGGGGGTGAGGGGAATGGTATGGGCGGGCCAGGGGCGGTGGAAAATGATTTTTGTTTCGTGTTTTTGGGACGAGAGGCCACGGAGAATGACACGGAACGAGGAAGTTTGGAGGGGGATTCGGCACGAGTAGAGGGGGCGTTCGAGTTGGAGGGAAAGGCGACCGAACGCGCGTCGGGAGGAGGTTTCGACGCGTTTTCAGATGATTGGGATCGAATGGAAGATGGTGGGGTGTCGAGGGGTTTTTGGGTAGACATGGTGGTAGTCGTAGGTGGGACAGATAGGACAATGGGAGATTGTTGTGAGCGAAAGTTCTAGAGCAAGCAGGCAATAGAGCGACAAGAGGAGGGTTGAACTAGAGTACTAGACAAGAGACAGTAGGTACAGCCACGCGAAACGAGGATGAGGGTAATAACGAGGCAGTGGGAAATACGGGTGCGGGCGCCCACGGGGGCAGCGTGTCGGAGCAAGTCGCTGGGCACAAGATCTGAAGGAGATCTGGACAGCGGGCCGGCCGTTGGGGATGAGGGGACAGAGGAGATGGGGAAAAGACACAAGAAGGGAGGTAAGGAGAAAGAAGAAGGGAGATGTGGTTGTGAAGAGGAAGAAGAGAAGAAAGCAACGACGAATGGCGCCGCGTTGTTTGCACCAAACACAAGGGCCGCCACAGTGGCGCTGCTGGGGATCCACTGCCCGTCTGCTATTCCTTCGCTCATGCATCTCCATCTGGGCGCATCCACAGCAGTCTCCTGCACCCCCGCACCAAATTCCGGCGCTCGAAGCATGGGTAAAAGTAGAAAAACGCTGCGACTCACCTCGTCGCGCTTGCTCTGCTTGCGGCGGGTGTCCTGGGAGTGGGGGCTGTTTGTGCTCATGGTGGGGCTCTGGGGGTGGTTGAGTCCGCCGTGTGGGACTGGGATGCGGGACATGCGTGGAAGAGAGAAAAAGTCGGGCACTCCATAACGTCACGGCCTCGACGCGAGCCACCTACGGCAAGACGCGTCACTAACGGGGGCCTATTTAAGAACGCTATCCTCCTCTTGCATCTACACTCTTCAGCGCTCTTCTATCGCGTGTACTCTGTCATTCGAACAGCATGAGTTTGGTAAGTCAACATGCGATTGACTAGTCGCAATTACTAACCTCGCATAGTTACCACCTGAAGAAGAAGGGGACGGCATCGAAGTCGTCTGGGGTATGCTATACCTCTCTCGACAAAGTTCCATCTGACTTTTTCGCTTCGCAGAGGACCAGCAGAGAATCAACACTTTCTCAAAACTCAACAACAGACTTTCAGACATTCAGGACCTTCTGAGAGCCAAAAAGGCGAGTCTGCGCTGCATCAAAAGGACAATGTACTGACTACCGAACGCAGGAAGAGAAAGAGTACTATGACGATCTGTCGACAGAACTCGAATTAGCAGACGATGATGATCCTCCCACTCTCTACAAGATTGGAGAATCGTTCTTCCATCTACCGCTGAGAGACGCCAGGAGGCAGCTGAAGAAGGATATGAAGCGGTATGAGACGGATATCGAGGGCTTGGAGGCGAGGGCTGAGGAATGTGAGAAGGGTATGAAGGAGCTTAAAGTACATCTGTAAGTTCACAACATCAATTACCACGACAATACTGACCGAGTACAGGTACGCCAAGTTTGGAAAGCAGATCAATCTCGAAACAACACCTTAGACTTGTACAACATATGCATGATCGCTGTAAACTTCAATCTTTCTTGTCCAACCCTTGCTCTTCCTCCCCTTCTTCTCCACCTTCCTCCTCTTCTTGTTGACCCCGCTTACCATTCCCATACTTCTTCTTTGCCTTCTTCGCCCTATCCGCCTTTCGCTTCCTCTCCTTCGCCGCCCTAATCTCTGCCTTGGTATACGTCTCACTCAACTTAACCTCTTCCTTCTTCCTCCTCTCCTTCCTACTCATCTTCTCATCCTCCTCTCCATCTCCTCCCATATCAACCGAAACACCCTCTATCCCATCTCCTTCCGGCGCCATACCGGGGAGTTTACCCGTCGCTTTGAGAACGGCGAGTTTTTCAGCGAGGATCTTTCTGGCTATTTTGCGGTTCTCTTCTCTGGACCTTGTTGGCTGGGACTGAACTCTGATACCCGTTGGAATGTGGGTAAGAGATACGGAAGAGTTGGTCTTGTTGATAGCTTGGCCGCCTGGTCCTCGCCCTGTAACATCCCATCGTCAGTTGTGCCATCATCAACATCAAAACTGCAGAGGAAGACCCCACCTCTGACGAATTTCTCATCGAGCTCTTCTTCCAAAAGCTCGAATTTAGCTTGCCTCGACAAGAGCCTGTTGAGTTTCTTGATCGAGCTTGGAAGTCTCGGTCGGACAGGTGTTTCTTTGACCGGCTGCAACACGCTTCAACATCTTGTACACAAGATTCGACCAGGATGGGGGCTCACGATAGCCTGCTCGGGTCGACTCGACTCTTGCCCGAGCTCTGAAACTTGTCCCACCGTCTCCCATGCCTCACCAACCTTCCCCTGCCCCTCACCCGCCTCGCCAGAATCATCCCCAAACAAATCATCCCCCAGCTCTTCTATCTCCGCCTCTCTCGCCCTCTTCTTTGAAGAGTACGCTTTTAGAGCATTGGCGGTAGGTGAAGAAGGGTATAAGGGGAGAAAGGGGAGGGAGCGAGGGGTGGGTAGGGGTCGATGTAGGTGGTGGACTAGGCGGGTGGGATGCCGGAGAGGGATGAGGAAAGGGCGGAACATGGTCATGCAGCTGAGGGGTGGAAGGAGATACAGATGATGGAATGGCATACCAAGAAGAAGAAGTCACAATCCGTTCCCCAATGCCGGCTGCTTTCCCGGCCCCCGACGCGACGTGCTCATGTTCGCGATAAACGTCAAACTCTTCAAGCGTTACGAGGTTGCAACTAGATACACCAGTCAAAAAGCCAAGATGCCCTCCCGCCAGGTAATAATCCTAGCAGTCATCACCCCCATCCTGCTCTACCTCCTCTTACGCCGCTCGTCATCACAAGAGCCCCCTGCCAGGGCTGCGTTCAGGCAGAGACTGGTCGCTGTCGGTGATCTCCATGGCGGTGCGTCCATCCCAACCATCTTCATACTACTTCCCGAGCTGATGAGATAATACAAAAGACATTGATAATGCTAAAAAAGTCCTGCGCATGGCCAAAGTGATTGACGAAAGTTCCAACTGGGCAGCGGGGACCGATATCCTCGTGCAAACTGGCGACATTGTCGATCGAGGAGCACATGCCGATCAGATTTACCGCCTCATGCAGAGGTTGAGAGGACAAGCTGAAGGGAGCGGCGGGAGGGTGGTTAGTATACTGGGGAATCATGAGGTTATGAATGCTATTGGGGATTGGAGGTGAGTACTTTTTGGTGATAGATATGAAGAAGGGAAGGGGAGCTGATGGGAGGGGCAGGTATGTGACTCGGGATGATATCAAGAACTTTGGAGGGTCTCCTGCTAGACAACAAGCTCTGTCGAATGAAGGGTGGCTCGGCCAGGAATGGCTAGCAAAGTATGTCCCCTTCCTCAACCTCAAAGCCAAGCGCTGACTCCTTAAAGCTACTCTGTAACCGCTCTCGTCCCCCTCTCACCCCACCCCTCCTCCCCATCACTTTCCTTCACCCACGGCTCCCTCCGTCCCTCTTTCCCCAACCTCCAGCCCTACCCCTCAGCCATCAACGCCCTCGGCCACTCTCTCCTCTCCCAAGCCCTCACCCCGCCCCTAGCGCCGCCTTACCCGCCGAGTCCATACTCTGGCCTACCCAAAGGCCACTCCCCGGCTGAAGCCGAGCTCTACGCAGAAGGTGGGCCTTTATGGTGGCGCGGCTTGGCCGACAGGGGCGAAGCGCAAGTGTGCGAGTGGACGAAAGAGCTCAGGGAGAAGACGGGTGCGAAGCGGTTTATCGGGGGACATACCCCGAATTTCGAAAAGATTGTGGCAAGGTGTGATGCGGGGGTTATCATCATTGATACGGGTATCTCATCGGCGTATGGGGGAGTGCTTTCGGCGTTGGAGGTGGTTTATACGCTTACGCCTACTGATGAGCATGATCGTAGTCAAGATCCGCTGTTGCTTTCGACAGCAGTCTTGAAGGGGCGATTCCTGGAGAAGGAAGAGATTCATGCTATATACCAGCATGGGAAGAAGCGGCTAGTCGTTGAGGAGCGAGAGGTCACTTTGGAATAGAGTCTGAGATGCATTGCATGAATACGAGGGTCAGAAGCGAGAGCTCAACATCCGGGTGATCTAGGTTGTCGTTTCATAATGGTCGGTACACCACACATCTCAAATATCCCAAGCCTCGTCAAAAGTACCGTCCGCATCGAGCTCCGAGAGCCAGCGCCAGAAAGGAGCAGAAGGGAAGCTGTAGAATGTCAGAACCTAGACATCAATTCAGACCTTGCAGACTCACCCAACACAGTTGTCATAGTTGCCTTGCACCTTTTCAATCAAGATACCTCCAAGACCCTGGATAGCAAAACCGCCAGCTCTGTCCAGACCCTCTTCCGAGTCAACGTAAGCCTGGATGGTCTGAGGCTGCGTCCGGGGTCAGCATTTTTGTTTCAGTGTTGAATGGTATCACCTTACAGAATTGTCGTAGAACGTGATGAGACTCGAGTTGGAGATGGAGCTGTCGCTAGCAGTCAGAAAACTTGGAAAGGTTGGTACAGACAGACCACGTACTGGACCTTGAAACCCGGGTACTCTACCGTGGGGTACACTTCGACCACCCATCAGCTATGCTCAACTGAAAGTCGAATGACTCACCAATGGATACCCCAGTAATCACCTCACAGTCCCTCCCAGACATCAAGCCCAAGACTTTTGCCTGGTCATCCTTGTTGACCGGCTTTTCCAGAATTTCAGACACCTCGCCATGCGCATCACCGCCCTCCGCAGTGTCCTTCTCTGGTGGAAAGACGACGACAGTGTCGGCAGAGATCACCAGATCGGGTGGGTTCTCGGGGCTCTCTTTGACGAGACGCTCGTAGACTTCCATAGCCTTGCAAACAGGTGTCAGCTGGTTCAGAGATTGACTTTCATGAGAGGTACCTTCTCAGCACCAGTTGATATGGGATAGTCGGCGAGATGGCCTTGGAACCTGGCATGCGGAAGGTTTTCCTCGAATGTTGAAGGCACTATCTCTGGGTAGAACCCCTTGGCAAACACCATCAGTATGACCGCATGGCCACTAACAAAAAACTTACAGCAGTTGCAAAGATGTCCTTCCGCCTTGGGCTCGCGGATGCGAGAACGACACGGCGGTTCTTGAGCTTCTTAAAGATGGGCAAGCCCAGAGCAGTGGGTCCTACAGCATTGTTGGGCATGAGGGGCTCTTCTTCTGTTGATTTTGTGAGGAAAGAAAACATGGACGGGATTGTGCAGAAAGCAAGGGAAGAAGCCGAACGAAGGAGACCCGGAGAGCCGAAATGCGTTGGCGGCGTGAATTTTAGGAACGCGCTCCATCATCTCTATCATTTCCACCTCTTCCTCAAAAAGTCGGTATACCATGGGCTCGTCATCCTCCAAAGGTATCAGGAAGCTCCCCAAATCAGCCCTCCCGCAATCAGCACGCGGCCAGAGGGTCCGTCTGCCCCAGCAAGCTCCACCGCCACCGATCGAAGAACAGCCCGAGGAAGAGAGCTCGGGGCCTATAGATTATAGCAGGCTGAAGGAGGAGATCAACAGAGGGCAGAGCGCAAAGGGGACGGCAATAGATTTCAGTGGAGAGAAGGATGATGGTGCGTATACACGCTTATGAGGGAAAGGGCTAACGATCATAATAGCACTTCAGCGAGATGCTATGGATCCTCAGTTCTTACAAAACCTCCACAAGCTTGGGCCGGTAGAGATCAAAGATGCTGGAAAATTTATCGTACATGATTCGACCGTATTGCGAAAGCGTGCTGACAATATTGCAGCCCGCCGACTTTCAAAGAACACTTTCATCCCGCAAAGATATCTACACTTCCAGCTCCCAGCTCGCCCCGCCCGGTCACCTCACCCTCCCCTTCCTCGTTAACCTCTTGGACAAACTGAAAACGCTTCCACCAGGCGCCGACCCGACACCAATATACAAACAGTTTGGAGTGGAGAAGGAAAAGATGGATGTGTTGAGAAAGTGGGTGAACAGTGTGAGCGTGGAAGATGAAGATTATGTGACGGTGGACGAGGGGAATGAGGTTCGAGAGATGAAGTCTGTTTGGATTGGGGGGCTCAAAAAGTAATCGGCGTCTGTATGTACCAGCATTGTAACTCGCACTGTCCCGGCGAATCACTAGAGTCGTATATTGCTCATCACAGGTTACATCGGTATTGCTCTTTGCTATGCTTCGTGACAGTCGTGACATTTGTGATATATGTGCTACGTGTGCTATGCACAGAGAATGCTAACAATGTTTACTTTCCGACCTTCCTTCTCAACCACGAAGAGTACTTTTTGGTCGCAGGTCTCGCCTTTACCGGCAACACTTTTCTGGTTTCCAGAACCACTCCCTCGATGGCAGGCAACGGCCCAATGTCGGTACTACTCGACTGGGTACGGGCAATGCCGATCCGGTCTGATGGATGGACGGCAGCAATCATCACCTCTTGCCATTCATCCCCACTCATCGGGCTCAATGGGCGCATCAGACTCGTCGGGGTCTGCATCACCACCTCTTCGCTCTCTCCCGCCTTCTGCCTCCAATTCTCGATCGTCAACCTCTGCTCTACCGACACTCTCTTCCCAAGGGGCGGCGGTCCAGTTCCAGTGACAGACCGCACCTTGCGCGCGACCCTCGATCTTCCCCGCTCGAGGTTGTAAGGGGCCATGCTGTGGCGTCGGGCCGGGAGGAGGTTGGATATGCGGTGGCTGAGCCCTCGAGATGGAGGAGGGAGCTCGGATGACACGTGGGGAGAGGTGGGGAAGGGGATAATGTCCTTGCGCGATTCGAGAAGATTGTCGTCACGTACACGGTCGAGCTCGCGCAGAGCGCGCATATTCTCTTCCTTTTCGCGCACGATCGAGTCGAGGATATTGCGAAGCTCGCTCTTCATATCTCTCAGGCGAGCAGCGTCGCAGATAGCACTGAGCTCGGCGAGGTACCTTTGCTTGCTTTCTACTATACCATAGGTTAGCAGGACGCAGGGTGTCATGAAGTGAGGATACGTACTAGCTCGGCACTTGTCCTCCCAACTCTCACAGATCTCCTTCAACAGCTTGTTCTCGCGCATCAAGATCTGGCACCTCTCTTCCCACGGCTCTTCCATGCCCTCTGGCGAGCGGGGTATCTCGTGCGCGATGGGACCGCCATCTAGGCTGTAGGTGTCGTTGTCGCTGCCGGGGTTGGAGGGCGGCGGTGTCGAATGGATGTTGTCACAGGGGAGGGGGTCGAGAGAGACCTGGTGCCCGTGGAAGTCCATGGCTACGGCATGTAGAAGTGTGGATGAGAGAAAGTGATGCACATAAATAGAAACAGGTCAATAATTTCAGTTTCAGTTCCCCCACCAAACTACTGATCGTGTGTCGAGGTTCTGTGCACGCGACCGGGTGGAGGCATTGTGGCGTTCCTTTGGCCCAACCCCTGCCGACCACCATCATCACACTCATGTCATGAATGAAGGTCGTGATGCTGTAATCCTTCTCGTGCATCCCTATTCATAGCATCCTACAATCAACTCAGCTTTACTGCCTCGCCTAGAAGATGATGTCAGCATATGGCACGGTGAAAGATCCATGAACGTACCTGAATCCACGATCCTATACTTGTTGCCTCTCCAGACAACTTCCGCACTCGTCATAGACATGAGCCAGATGGGGAGAGCCAAACACTCCCGTGCAGCCCACGCCATCAAGAAAGTCACCCGGCTCCCCGGAGGTCCTATATGCTTTACATTCGTCTCGAGCGCTGCCTTTGTCGACAGATCGATCCCCAGCCAGATAGCCATGTGCACCAGGAATATAGGAAACATGTTACCATCGAGCAAAGTAGAGATGGCCCATGAGCCGTACAGGCCCGCGACGATGGACTCTGTTGCTGGCTCTAGGAGCGTGACCACGATGGGAGTCATCTTTTTCCGCACCCTCAGCCATCTGACTCTTCGATTGATGTAGTCTGTGACTGTCAATGCGCCCAGAAAGTCGAGGACGACATCCGAAGTCATAGCATGCTTGAGCTTTAGCTCATGCCAGAGGGAAAGGCCGATCATGTTGTCTTCTGCGAGATAGGGGCCGAACCCTTCCAAGCCTTTTGGAGGATTGGAAAGTGTCCGCAGAGATGGAGCCGGGGAGGTGAGATTGGAAATGTTGTCACGAGAGTAGATGCAGGATTTGCCGACAACGCAGGAGTCGATTGAGACGGCGTTCTACAAGGTGTCAGATGGGCCTTTTACATGTGTGAATCGCACTCACGATAGCCAAGTACATCTTGGAATGTGTCGTGTTCAGATACGCCTGCTCTATCAGACTCCCCCAAGTCTTTTGATAACACACGGCAAGCGGCACCTGATGAACCAGGCCAACTTCTCCAGCCACAGGAGGCTTCCTCACATCATCGGCTATCGACAAGAGGGGCGAAGCCTCGGGATCATAAGTCGCCAAAGGCGAATTTGAGCTGGGATCGGAGAAGAATGCTTCGATTGAGCGGCCTAGAGTATCGGGAACGACAGAGCATGTCGAGTCGAGAACCCAGAGGAGGTCGTATTTGGCATCTCGGAAAGGTGTCATGAGGTTGTTGACTTTGGGATTGACGCCGACCACAATCGAGTCTAAAGACATCAGACATGTGCTATGGGCTCGCGAGATACTCACTTATGACGACTCTTGCGTCCACATCGGGATACTTTTCCATGATCATCCTGACCACCGGCAACGCCTCATCCTGCTCGCTCTGCAGCGCAAATATGACTTCGAACTTGGGATACTGTATCTTCATGACGCTTTCGAGCGTGTTGTACAGGTTTTGGTCGAGCCCGCATAGAGGGCGGATGATGGTCACGCCCGGGGTAGCGGATGGCGAGCGTTGGGAGAGACGGGAGGGGAGGTTGGGGTGGGCGTAGCGGATACGCCTGTGATTGAATTAGTAGATGTATTCTAATAAAACAGCAAGAGATCTTACGCAGTGCGCCATCCGAGAACATTCAGAGCCCATACCACAGTGTAGAATGCTGACAGCCCTATAGCTCCCCAAATTGATGCGCCTGCAATCCAAAAAGTCAGCCGAGTCTTTCACTCCCCGGCAACTTCCTCACCCATGACAAACCGAGTTTATTGCTTGCTTTTCCGTCCTTTTGAAAGGGAACACGCCCTCCTCCTTCCTATTGTCGCTGGCGAACAAACAAAGAGACCCAAACAACATTTGCCCGTCGTCCATTTTCGGCATCCGTCGACCTGCCTCCACCTCGCGTGCCCGACGTGCCTATTCCCTCTCGTAGGCGCACCCGGTCTCCGGTTGACTGGACCGACGCGTCGAGATTTTCAAAACAGTTCCATCGATTCGGTGCACCATACCATGGACAAGACCAACCCCTGGCTCACGGCGAGCGATGACCCCCCACCGATACCAGACACCTACCCCCAGCTCCAGAGACTCGACAAGAGCGTCGTCTGCCAGATCTGTAAGGAGCCGTTCCAGGCGCCCGTGTCCATTGCGTGTGGCCACTCGTTCTGCTCATCGGTATGTACTACTGGATCGCCCTGCTGGGCAGGAGGCGGGGTCGAGAGTATCTAGAGCTAATGACTAGATGGTGTAGTGTATACGATCGTCATTAGACGTCCAGAAAAAATGCCCGAGCTGTAATGAGCCGGCATCGGAGGGGTCCATACGGCGGAACAGAGCTCTGGAAGAGACAGCAGATGCTTGGGAAGACTGCAGGTGCGTATATTCCAAGGGAAATGTATGTTTGCTCACGTCTGTCTAGGCCCAAGCTCATAGAGTTGACGAAACCCACCATGTCCCGCAAAAGACTTGCCTCAGAATGCCCAAGCAACGTCAAGCGCCTGAAGGACATGTCTGGCAAGGCTGTCAACGGAAGCACGAGCCCGTGCGAGACCAAGAGAGATAGTAGTGAAGAGGTGGAAGTGCTAGAGCTGGACGAAAGCGGTGAGTCAGCAGTTGTTGTGTATGGGTTGTGTGCTGACATCATCTCACAGATGAAGCACCTTGTCCAATATGTCAAGCTCGCTTGCCGATAGCGTCAATACCGACTCATATTGATAAAGGCTGCAAGATACCCAAGTCAAAGGCTGGTGTAGGGGCGATTGGGAACCAAAAGGCAGATTGGAAGAAGGTGTTTTCGGGGCAGAGTATGAAAAGAGACACGAGCAAGGGCAAGGATGCGAAAGAGTCAGTTGTCGGTGAACACTCTGCATCAGTATGGTACTGACTCATTGCGCAGGGTCGAGATGAAACGGATCACCAAACCGAATTACTCCTTGTCGTCTCCGGCTGATCTTCGTTCTATCCTCTCGGTGAGTGATACACAGGCAATCGTTGGTGTCATCTGACATGCCGCCAGGAATATTCTCTCCCCACCACGGGCGACAAGAGTGCCCTTATAGCTCGTCTCCAAGAATGGATCGTCCTCTTCAACGCAAACCTCGACACCTCACATCCTTCCTCCATCTCCGCCCTGAGGGCCAAGTTGGCAGAAGCCGAAGCTAGCCGGAAAAAGGACAAGGACAGAGGGAAGGATGAATTGATCAACCAGCTGGGGACGAAGGATGGGCTGGTGCAGTATGGGATAGATAAGAAGGCGGAGTTTGACAAGTTGAGGAAGGATATCATGGACAGGCAAAAGAAGAGTTTGAGAAAGGGGAACGGAAGAGATGCTCCTATCGAGTTGGATTAGGGGGTGATCCGGGAGACACTGTATCATAGTTGGGATTATCATGTTGCTATTATTACGCCATTATCACACGAGTTTCCAATGCATGGTCAAACTGTTGTACAGCTCAAAAATAAAAAGATCTACGCCACACGCCAATCTCCAGGCAAGGCTATTGTAAAGGACCAACTCGCTCACCAGAAGCATATGGCATCTTGCGCATTTACACTTGGAAGGGAACAACGGATTTTGACCTTGTTCCTCTTACTGGCATTGGGCCGAGAGCTATCTCAACATCTGCATCTAGGCTACACGCAGAGTACCCTGGATACCCTTCCTCGCTCGGACGCCTACAAATCTCCAGCCCGCTCCCGTAGCCCTGTTCAATACGCTACCGACCAGACTCCAAGCTCCACCCCTCTTCCTCAAATTACCACTCAACCCTGGCAAAACCCCCTCAGTCCAATCCTCAACCACCACATCCACCCATCCCTGCCCTTCCAGCTCGGCCTTATAAGCCCCAAGCGACGCAGGGCGATCAGCAACATTAGAAGTGGGTACAGACAAGAGGTATGACAAGATGTATGCTTGCCATAGAGGAAGGTTGGAGGGGGGGAGAATGTCGGTGTAGACTATGAGGCTGATTTCGCGTAAGACCGGGCGGAGGGATGAGAGGAAGGTAGACAGGGAAGGCGGGTAGTGGTAGGCCGAGTCGAGGATGTAGACTAGGTCGTAAGGGGGAGGACCAGTCGTGGGAGGTTGGTCCTCTGGGTGAGGGAACAGGTCTTCATCTTCATCTTCGTCCGTGTTGAAGAATCTCTGGCTAGACCGTTCGCCTAGAAATCCGCGCATGGGGTCGAGCGGATGGCCAACGTCTTTTCCAGGTCGAAACTCTGCCGAATAGGTAAAGTATTGGACTGCAGATGCAGTCTTGGGATGCTCTGACTCGACCAGGCTCTTGGAACTTTGAGTATCTGACGCGAGGGAAGTGAGGGCGTGAAGGTGGCCAGGGGGGTTGGGCTGGGATAGATGCACGACTATAGTTGATCAGCGTTTTTGTTATCCACGCTCTCATCCGACTCACGAAGGGATTCACCAGATCCGTGACCAATATCTTCATCCGAGTCAGCACCCTTCATCGTCAGGATATTGATCATATCCTACCAAGGACACTGCCACCGCCTTCGTACCCGGCGTCACTGGCCAGCTCAAGCAACTTCTTGGCCAACGACTCGGCTGCTTCGGAAAAGTCCTCCGTTTCCTTCAATCATTCAGCCTCGTAATTCTGAGAGGCATAGGAGAGAGAGGCCACACCTTCCACCATCCCATGTTGCACCATCGCGTGGTCCTGCCCTCGGCGCCTTCACGGACGTTGAGCACAGCAGGGTCCCAGAGCGCGTAAGGTTCCACCAGCCAAGGAACCAAAAGCAGCAGGAGAGGCAGGAAACCCAGAAGTATTAGCCCAGTGGAAGGCATCTTGCGTACTACGGTCTCGTATAGACTGCAATAAAATGTAAGTCAACAAATGTTACAGCACCGGGACGCGTCGAGGAGGCAACGAGGAGGTCGACCTCCACTTGTCGGCACTTACGTAACGAGGATGGTTCCAACTGTTGTTGAGCGCGCTTGACTTGTCTGTTTGGCTCATTTCCTTTCAAATTCTCGAATCTCCATCCTCCTCAAGAGCCCCATCCATCCTATCAAATACTTCCCTAAGACACACACATATACTGGAGGAGATCGCAGAGGAAAAACAATGTCGACACGGCAAGGAAGAAGGTCGTTGGGCCTGCCGCCACTGAATCCGCAAACATTGGAGAACAAGAAAGAGCCTGGCTTTGTTGAGCAGCAGAAATTCGATGATTGTGAGTTTCATTGAGTTGAATTGGTTCAAAAGCTGGTCTGACTCTATGATAGTCAGAAGAAGACATAGGGAGCAGAATAGAGAAGTCATCATGTACGTCACAGGGCCTCACATCAAACTCTGAAGCGGACATCTAATGATTGGGATATAGCACCAACGTGGAGCACAAGAGACTTATCAAATCCCTTCAAGATGAGATCACTTTGCTCCAGAACGAGCTGCTTGACGTGAGGAGAGAAAAGTTGACAGTGCAAGCAAAAGTCAACAAGATGGAGCGGGACAATCTGAGACTGAGAACACCGGTGAGTATCAGCTGGAATGATACGCGCTGCAGATGACTGATCAGGCTATCAGGAGGTCATGGGACTCCTTGACATCTTGCTACAAGCGGCACCAGCCCTTGTCTCCCTACGCCAAACAATAGCAAAACTCCCCACTCCACCAACGAACGCCGTTCCCTCATCCGCCCAACCGAATATGCTATTTGTGGGCAACCCCACGGCTACTCGTCCTGCTGCCAATGGAAAGGACAGACAAGGTCTGGGATGTTGGGCGGAAGAAGAGGAAGGAGATTGGGCCGAAGAGAGAAGAGTGACCTCTCGTTCTAGAGGGTGATTAGCTTTCTTGAAGGTTGATTCAGCAGCAGCTGATGACAGATCATAGACGACAGACCGACGTTGGCTCGATTGCAGCCTCAAGGTCACCTCAACGCAAAGCATACCCCCTATCTCCCGCTCGGCGGTCTCTTTCGCCCAGTCCGAAAAAGGCTTCCGCCATTCGATTGCCGATTGTACCCAAAAGACGACGAGAAAGTGGGCTGCTCCCTCCAAGACCTAGATCACTGTCACCAAAAGCCGTGCAGGCGAGGGAGGAACAGCCCCTGGAAGAGTCAGAGGAGGCTGCAGTGGGAGCGGTGGTCGCTGAAGAAGAGGGTATAGAAGACGAGTGGGAGGAAGGGCCTGTTGTGGAGATGAAGCCTGATGAGGCATTGGCGCTGGTAGAAGAAGAAGAACAGCAGGAAGAGGACGCAGGCTTGCCGGCGAGGAAAGAGCAAGAACAAGAGAAAGAGAAGGAGAAAACTCCGGTCCAGGCAGGGGAGGGGGAAAGTCAACGGCAAGAGATGGCCCCGGAAGCAGGTGTCTCTGTGAAGGAACCTTCCGATTGCAAGTTATACTACCTTGGGATTCGATCAGCAGCTGACATTACCGTAGCATCGCGAACGAGTCGCCTTTCATCATCATCAACAGAGCATGTCGAAGCTGAAACGGCTGGTCGCAGCAGGCGCGCTCGCGGAAGTGTGGTAAGCTACAAGGAGCCAAGCTTGAACAAGTATGTGTATTCACTTCTATATCATAAGCCCAACTAACATATGTACAAGGAAAATGCGCAAGCCCGATGGTGTACAGACAGAAGACGCAATCAAGACACTCGGCAACCGGCATTCTGTCACTCCCAAAAAGGCGACACCGAAGAAAGGAAAGCGAGACACGCGTCGACAGTCTTCTCCTGTACCGATGCCCGACTTCTCGGATCGCCCGAGTGCGTCTAGCTCGACATCCTCTCGCAGCGCCAGCATTTCAAGCAGCCAGGGCATGCGGCGGAAGAGCATGCTGCCAAAGTCCAATATGGGCAAAGGCAAAGCGAGGGATGATAGTCAGGAGAGAGTCCGATCGAGATCAAGAGAAGAGTTGAGTGACGATGACCTGGACGAGTACGAGGCCGAGGCGAACAATGACGGTGATGACCTTCACCAGAAGTTTGGGAAGAGTCTGCATATTGGCAGCTCCTCTTCCAGCCAATCTCTAGCGCCTTCAGCTCCATCCCGGCACCCAGACTTTGAGACGTCAAAATCACGTACTCGTCCCACTGCACAAATATCGTCCATACCTCTACAATCCGCCCCCCTCAATCAACGCTCTCCAGATCATCCTTCGTCAATCATTGCTTCTTCGGGTATCGGGTCTCGCCCGTCAAGCGTCACCGCTAGAAGGCCGATGAATGCCCGCAGCTTCACGCCGACGAGTGCGACGCGTCCGAGAGATGTGTTGGGTGAAGTGGGCGATAATGTGGAAGCCAAGGCGGCTATGGCGAAGGAGGCGAAAGCTAGGGCCGTAGGAGGAAGACGAGCTAGCGCGTTACAATGAGCAATCTACAAGGGCTTTTTTCTTTAGGGTGATAGGAAACGATGATGATGATATGTTTATAATGATAGTAATGATGTAGCAGCGTAGTAGGGCTTATGATGAGAGTAGTGTGTTATATGCATGAGACCATCGAGGCTCTCGTGGACATTCTCTCACGTGCTTCAAATTGATCGAGAAGGGTCTGCACCACGTAGCTCATCCTTGTCCTATATAAATGCATACACGCCTCTGAAAGAAAGATCCTACACTCTTATATCATCTAAGCCGCAACCCTAGCCTGCCTGGACTTGGGCACCCAAGCTCCAGGCTTCTTCTCCACCGAGGCTGCTGGTGTAGCAGCAGGCGCAAGCGCAGGAGCGTCCGGCTTGGTCGCTATCGTTGAGGCATCGCCAGCGGGGTTCGATGAGGGGGCGGAAACGTTAGAGGTAGATTTACGGACGGGGAGGGGAGCAGACTTGATGGCAGTGAGGGCACGCTGGGCATGCTCGGCGTTCCGGATGAAGAAGCCGGCGTATCTTCTGTGAGAAGTAGTCTCCTCGACGTGAACCATGGTCTGTACAACTCAATCAGTATTTATGGGAGTGGACGATGAAGAACGTACCTGGTCGATGGTGAAGTCAAGGTTGTTGGTAACTATTCTTTCACCGTCCAACAAAGATCCTTCCCCTGATCCTCGCGCGTAGGTGCTGCTCGCGTTCTTGAGCACCATCAGCTGCTGCAGAACCTCCTCCTCTCCATCGGGTTCCTGTCCTTCCTTGATCTCGGCGAACGCGGCGAGCTTGGCCGCGTCGATAGAGGTGTAGAGCTTCAACAAGTTCCTCATGCCGTTAACACCAGCGACAGACTTGACGTCCCTGACAAACAAGTCGAGCTGCCTTTGGGTGGCGTCCGCGGGGGGGTTCTCGGCCCAAGCAGCGAGAGCAGTGGGATCCTCGTAAGGGGGAGAGTTAACGTTGAGGTATTTAGGGCAGGCCTGGAGGTAAAGGTCCTTGAATGTTTCAAGAGCCTCGGCGCCGCCTCGTTGGAGGATAGAAAGCTGGTCGCCGTAGTGCTCCTTGACGATGGACATGATGTTTTCATCTGAGGGGCCGGGGGAGAGGGTGGTGCAGATGGCGAGGAGGGCGTACATTCGCTCACAGGTCTTGGCGATCTACGAACAGTCAGCAAAGCCCTTGACGCACGTAGTCATATCCACTCACAGAGCCGTATTGGTATGACCTGGTGTGGTACTGCTTCATACGGATGAAGAAGATCAGCACAGAGACGAAAGTCTTGATAGCATCCGGCCATCGTCCGAGAGCCATGTAGGCACAACCGACGTTGTAGTAGGTGGTGACGTGACAAGCAGTGATTCGAGTCAAGAAAGCGGCACCACCAAGGTCAACGTGCTCCATAGTTTGCAAGGCCACTACAAAGCATGTCAGTATTCTCGAAGGGCCAGAAGCAAAGGTGTTCGCTGCTTACAAGTAGGGTCACCCAACAACACGTGGACGTGCAGCAAGCAGATCAAGGAAAAGTACCCCAAGTTCCTGTACAAGGGCTTGGATCCGTACTCGCCAGCAATGTCCGAAACCTCCTCAGCGCTCTTGCCCTCCTTCTCGGCCTTGAGCTGCTCGTTGATTTGAGACTTCTGGACCAAAGAGTAGAGGACGTTGAGGACAGAGTAGGATGACCAGATGTGAGGAGACTCTGCGAGCAACTCGAGCTCTTCCTCGTTCTTGGCCTTGGGGGATGATCGCCAGTGGGAGAAGTTGGTGAACTGGTACACGAACTCGTCGAGCATGTCCCAGAGCCATTGGATAGGAAGGTCGAGAGGTACGGGGCCCTCAGAGTTGAGGAGGTAGTTGAAAAGTTCGCAAATGTTCTCGTAGGACTGGAATCGGTCATCGATAGTGGGCTGGAGCTTGGCGTAAACGTGTCGGAAGTAAAGCTCTCGGTAGAGAGTCAGGAAGACCTGGTCGTTTTGGACGAGAGGAGCGATAAGTTCGGCTTCGGGCCACTCGTTGTTCAAGTAGTGGGCCTGCAGCATTTTAGCACATCTTTATTGTATCTGAACCAGAATGACAAACCTGGGTGAGCTTGTTCCATCCAGATTCGTACATGGTGGTAATGGTGGGGAGGTCGTTGTCGAGGATAGCCTTGTGGAAAAGCACCAAGAACTGCTCTCGCGCATTAGCACTTCCATCCTTATAATCCCATCTCTCTTTGAACAGCACACGCACCCTCTTCACGTCCTCGGGGACAAGCTCCAAAGCAGCCATTTGGTCCATCTCCTGCTCCTGCGCCTGGGCGAGCATTGTTTGCTGGGCATAGGCGGCCTGTTCGAGTTCTTGAAGACGGCGGTACTCGTCGGTCTCGGAGCCGATTGGCTGGTATTGCTGGACGGGGACAGCGAGTTGGGAGAGAAGTTCGTCCTCTTCGGGCTCGTAGAAGGCTGTAGGGTCGGCCATTTTGTGTGATTGGGGTTCTATAGTATAGCTTTTGCTCCCTCTATACAAAAAGTCAGAACAAAAGGCAGAGCGCTCAATAGTAACGGAACCAAATCTACATAACGCCGATAGTGGCAGCGATCAGCATCTGTGAACCATGAACCTCGCATCGGACGTATTACTCTATGCTGGCCATATAGCTATGCAGTGGGTCTCTGGGTACGTGCATGACCTCGGCGATGATGGCGGGTACTGATATCCATAGTTATAGCGTCAAACAGCAAATCAAGTAGCAACAGCCAGCCATTCGGCCCGGAGAGATGTATGTATTCGTATGTAAGTATGAAAATGCGGGAGGATCATTGAGACTTTATAATACTTTTTGTGTCATAGCGCGGAACCGTTCAAAGGAAAGTCATTGATGGTCTGGAGAAAACGTGAAGAATCCGAGAGGGATGGCGGAGCTCATGACTGCAGCTTGCGTGTACGGCACATCACCCAACCTTGCCACGAAACATACCAACCTGAAACACGCGTCAGCACTGATAGCAAGTCGGTTATAGGACGCAGGAGCGACTCGCCAGCATGAAAGATAATGTAAGAGCATTGCAGACGACAGCAAAGAAAAGGAAAGCATCGAGAGGCCTGACTTTCTTGCTCTTCCAAACGCGCCTCAAGTCGAGAGTGATGAGGCCGAATATCATTGCGATGATAGAGATGACAGCGTCGGAGAACAGGAGCCACATCCGGCTAGTGTGGGCGTCAGAGAACGGTGAGGAAGTTGAGGTTGAGGTACTCACATCTTTGTACCCGGGGGAAATGTGTAGAAGACGACCATGATGATACTCAGCAAGATCTGGATAGCGCCTGGTGAAGAATCAGCTAGCTTTCACCTCAAGGTACGAGTAGACTCACAAGCAACCCAAAGACTCCACACATCGACCTTCCTGTTCGAAGGAGCCCGCATCTCGTCCTCGCCGACCATGTCCTTGACCTCATCCCGATTGGCTTCAGCGTCACCTTGCCGCGTGTTCCGTGAGATCAGGAGACTTTGGGTGGAAGAGGCATGGATAGAGGAGCCGGTAGTGCTGGTAGGCGACAGAGACGAGGTAGTGGAGCCGGGGGAGGGGACAGGAGACGGGGTGTGCCGATGTATTTTGGAAGAGCTGGCACGGGTGAGGCTAGAAGGCTGGGTAGTGTGACAAGCGTCGAGATCAAAGTAAGAAGGCGCCTGGGTGGTGTAAAAGTCAGAGGTATTGAAGTGGGATGGAGAAGAGTATGAGCGAAGATGCGCGAGATTGGGCGGGGAGGGTGGAGGTCGAGTCGCTTCGACGGGGATGGTCTCGTGGTTAAACATGCTGGTGAGATATATATGTGGATGCAAGACGAAAGAGTATCGCTCACTTGCTTTTATAGATGAGCATACTGTGCAATGTGTCTTTAATGAGACCCGGTGTCATTCTCACCCATGACACAGATGATCATGTCATCCGCGAACGCATAATCAACCTCTACCACACCGCTCCCCTGGATGCCATTTGCGCCAACTTCAGCCTATACTTTCTCCTACAAGGGTCAAACCCGGAGCGAGCTGGTGGCCTTGCCATTGCACTTCGCGGTCCTCGCCAGAAAGTCTTCGAGTCACGTTGATCGTTCCCGGCAACCTCAAGTGTCATCATATCTGTGCATGGCAATGCGACACGTCATGTGCGACAAACGGTCACTCTACAAGTTACGGAAAGATATAGAAGCAAAGGAGCTCATGGAAAGCAGTACAACACCAGCATATCACCCTCCCACGTATCCTCGGAAAACAGCAACCTACGAACCCATCAGAGCTGCCACATGACGCGAAAACGGGTTAGTACTCACAAACATGAAGGAAATAGCAACGGCATTGCATAATGCAGCGAAGAAGAGGAAGAAATCGACAGGCCGAACCTCCTTCGTCTTCCAAATACGTCTGAACTCGAGAGTGATGATGCCAAAGACGAACGCGACGACCGATCCGACAGCGTTGGCAAAGAGAAACCATTTGCGGCTATGAAACTATGTCAGGGGCGGCGATGGAGACGAGTGAAGGCACTGACCTGTCGGGAGGGGTGGAAAAGAGGGCGACCATGGTCACATTGAGGAGGATCTGGAGACAGCCTGTGAGCTGTCAGCCTGCTTTGATCCGAAGCCGTGCGTACTCACCAGCGATCCAAGGGTTCCACTCATGGGCTCTTCTTCTCCAAGGGCCCCTCCCAGAAAACTCCTCGCCCTCTTCTTCCATATCCTCCTGCCAATTAGCCTCTGCGTCATCCCGTCGATGTTTCCTCTCCATGCTCAAGAGACCTCTGGTAGAGGAGGCGTTGGACGAAGTAGAGGAAGTGGAAGAGTTGACTGGGGATAGGGCCTGCGTATCCGGGGTGGGAGGAGCATCGCGGGCGAGGATGTGGGGCTGGGTGGTACGTCGAGGATGGAGCTTGAGACGGGGGCGCGCAAAGGCGTTGTAAGAGGTGGTAGAGTGGAAGTGAGATGGAGAAGAGTAGGAGCGAAGGTATGCGAGGTGAGTCACAGGAGGAGGTCTTATGGGGGTATCGCGGGTCGACATACTGGAAGGTGAAGGTTTGCGATGTGAAGCCGATCATCATCGCTCACGCTCTTATATAGCAGGAAATTTGAAGATCAGGTGGTTCTAGGCCAAGCTATGAGGTTTGCACTATTCTCGCACATGACGCAGAGGTACTTTCACGATTTGCAGCATCAAAGGCATGGAGCTCTGCAACTGATCCTTCTTGCAGGTCTGCGGACAATATGCCCTGCTGCTGAATCATATCATCAACAAGCAAGCATAACATATGTCGGCATGGAAGCTCTTGAGTCTCACTGGACGATCTGCCTGGCATACTCGACGACTTCGGCGAGTCTCGGCATGCCGACCGAAAGCATTACGACGGCTTTGTTGGTCATCATCGACGCTAAGGATTTGCTGGAATCTGGTGGAGAACTGGGATATCCAGAAGGCTGGTGTATGACTTGACCCCTCAGAACAGAACGCGAGCACGGATGTTCGAACGTCGTTGCACGCAGATAATACCAGGGATGCTTTTGGGTGTACAGTTTGGTACTGTCAATGCTATAGCAGTGGGTGGTACATGCATGCATACGGATTACGGCCTATACCTTCGTTTCTGGCCTTATGGTGGGACCAAACAAGGCGCTTAACGACCTCCACTTTCGCGTTCGTTTCTTTCGTCACTGGGCAACGCGTCTTTCGGTCTTCCATCGCATTCCATCTTGGGTACGTTCTTGGACTTGTCTCGCCAAACTTCCCCATTATGGAAAACATCGATATCTTTGGTGATGCGCCTTCTACAACCCCAAAACGTCCGAGAGCAGGGACTGCTATCCCGTCTTCTTCACAAGTTTCTATTCCGGGTGACCAGGATGTCGAGGATGACCCTCCGGCCAGCCAAGCTCTTGAGCACAATGAGGTATGTCTTGGACTGTTCTAGGCATAAAATATCCTTCGGGTGATCTGTTGAGCCGAGGAGTACCCCTGAAGTGCTGTCGTTCTGATGACCCATAGCACTATGCGACATTCCGCTCAGATGTCGTGGGCGTCCAATACTATCGGGGTCTCGTCGGAAGGGGCGAATACGTGATGCTGCGACGAGAGCCCACGAATAAATACGATTCAAACGCTGTCCAAGTTGTGAACGCCGGGGGTAACCAAGTTGGTCACATTCCTAGAGCGGTCGCCATGAACCTTGCCAGCTTGATGGACAGGAATGTAATTTCTGTCGAGGGACGTATGGCGGGGCAGAACCTGGATGGCGCGAAACACTTCAAGATGGGACTGTGAGTCAATGACTCAAGGCAGACGAACTATATTGATTTGTCATCAGAGACCTTTCCATTTACCTCAATCGCACCATGATACCAGCTCTTGAGGCCGAACTTCGCTGGGTCCCAGCAAGGTACAACCCTCCTCCTCTTCAGCCTATCAACCAGAGGAAAACTGGCATGCACGGTGGTACTAGTGGCAGTGGATCCGGCCTTCCTGGGGGCGATACCGCCATGCAGGATCTTTTGCAAGGATTGAGCAAGGAAAATGTCGACATCAAGCAGTCTGACAAGGTTATGGTGCGCTTCTCGCAGGCTACGTCTCAAACCATGGACTGATTTGTTCCCAGGATGCTCTCACTGGCGATGTAAACGTCTCACTGCTCCCTCTTCACCCTTCTCCCCCGGGGGTTCTCAACAACCAGCTTGTCGTCGACCTCCTTCCTCACCAATCTCAAGCGCTGCAGTGGATGATCGGCCGCGAAAACCCCAAGCTTCCTGCCGCCCCCGAAGACCCCGCCGTACAATTCTGGGTCCGTCAGAAAGGCGCCGGCGGACGCAACGATTACTGGCTGAACGTGGCCACTAGAACGCCTCAGACATTGACGCCTGTGCTCGGAAGGGGTGGCATCATCGCGGACGGCATGGGTCTTGGAAAGACGCTGTCTACAATCGCCCTCGTTCTTGCTACCCGCGGTGAGCCCGTCGGCGACAAAGTCAGCCAGGCAACACTCATTGTCTGCCCTCTCTCGGTTCTCAGTAATTGGGAGAAACAGATCCAAGATCACGTCGCTCCCAAGCAGCTTACCTTTTACACTTACCATGGTGCTGCCAAAGGTCTGACTGCGAAGAAGTTGGAGGGATACGACATCGTCTTAACGACTTATCAGACCGTTATGGCGGAGGCCGGCGATCTCCTTGGAAATCCCGACACACCTTCGGCCAAGAAAAAGAAGACTACTACTCCCAAGGGCGCGGGGGCTTTGGCAAAAATCAACTGGAAGAGGGTTGTTGCCGACGAGGGTCACCAGCTGAAGAATTCAAAGGCCAAGAGTCAGTACTGCGAGCAGCAAGAATACAGCCGTTAAAGATATTACATAGCGACTGTCGGGTTCACAAACCTCAAGGCCGAGCGTAGATGGGTCTGCACTGGAACGCCTATCGTGAACTCTCCCAGTGCGTACATGGCTTCCTGTACATATGATGCCCTATACTGACGACGCCGCAGACGATCTGGGCTCTCTACTCTCATGCCTTCACATCTGCTCCCCATTGAATGACCCAGCCTATTTCCGAGCCCTGCTCCTCCGACCCTTATCCCGAGGCGACCCTGCAGCGCACAAACTGCTTCAAGCGGTCGTTTCCCAGACCCTCCTTCGACGTACCAAGGACTCGAAAGGCGCGGATGGCAAGAAGGTCGTAGAGCTCCCCGAGCTCGAGTTTTTCAAAGTTGGCGTGACGATGGATGAAGAGACTAGAGCTGTCTACGAGGAGGTCATGGAACATAGTAGGACCGAGTTTGAGGCCAACATGCGCAGTGGTGAAGGCAACCCTGCCAATGTGTTGTCGATGCTGACTAGAAGTGAGCCCATTCCTCATTTGTTGCTCTCTACTAACGATGGCAGTGCGTCAGATTTGCCTATCTCTCGAGCTCGTTCCTCAGACATTCCTGGACGACATCCGAAAGCCGCCCCAAGTCCGCGATACCGGCAACGCCACCTCTATTGCCTCCCTCAGCCCCGAGAAGAAGCAAGAGTTGATTGAAAAGCTCAAGGCTTACGTCGCCGACGAGATCGAGTGTGGTGTTTGTATGGATGAGACTGAATTCGCCAAGGACCCTTCCATCACTGACTGTGGGCATCCGTGTGAGTATGGATGACAACGCAATTGACCTCGCTGATGTCAGACTAGTCTGTCTCCCTTGCATCACCCAGGTGATCAAGACTAGGCCTACGTGCCCTATGGACCGCCACCCCCTTGCCCAGACATCTGTCCTGCAACTCCCTCCTCCTTCTACTCAAGACGGCGACTTTGAACCTTCCTCCCGGGCCAAGTCAATTAAATCCGCCAAGATTGACGAAGTCGTCAAGTATCTCAAGCTCTTCCCTCACGACGACAAGTCTCTCGTCTTCTCTCAATTCACGTCCTTCTTGGACTGTATCGGGACGAGGTTCAAGGAGGAGGGTATCAAGTTCGTGAGGTTTGATGGTCGGATGCCTGCAAAGGAGAGGACGGAAGTGATCAAGAAGTTCCAAGAGCCGGTGAAGGGAGATGATGACGAAGACACGCCGAGGGTGATGTTGATTTCGCTGAAGAGTGGTGCTGTTGGTCTCAATTTGACAGCGGCATCCAACGTCTTTTTGGTGAGCTCTTTCGTCGTTCTGGAGAGGGAGATGTGCTGACGGCAAGGACAGACTGATCCCTGGTGGCAATCAGCCATCGAGTCTCAAGCCATCGACAGGGCTCATCGAGTACGATTGTGTGTCTCTCAAACTTGACAAGGTGCTGATGCTTGACATTCTCTAGATGGGCCAGAAGAAGAAGGTCCGCGTGTTCCAGCTCATTGCGGAGAACAGTGTTGAGTCTACCGTTCTGGACATTCGTACGTTGACGGGTGCTTTACGTGATCAGAGTTGACCGCTTTCCTAACAGAGAAACGAAAAGACGAGCTTGTGGCAAAGGTACGATCTGTCAATGATTTTCGGGGCCATGACTGATGACTTGTTCTAGGCCTTTGAGAAGTCTACCAAAGAGATAAAGAAGAGCAAGAAAGAGGCCCGATTCGAAGAAATGAAGGAGATCTTGGGGCTGAAGTAAGAAAAGGTGCGATTGCAGTGTATCATAACGACGATGACGAGAAAAAGCTGGGGCGAAAGGGTGTGCATAGTCGACGAGTATTTATCAAATGACAGGATCTGAGAGTCGGCAAGGCATGACGATAGTATGTACAGCATGGGGTGCGCCTCAGAAGCATCTCGAGCGGACACCAGAAGTCAGAAGGGCACTTGTTCCTCCGCCCGGGCACCAAGGCACAAGTAGCATCGTCCGATGAGGAACATCTCGAGAGATTGAGGAGGGGGTCATCGCGTTTCAGATCTTCTGACGACAGTCGGCGCAGTCAGAAAATCGCAAGTTCGCCACCTGGTGCACCTGGGCCACCTGTCTAAAGCATAGATCAGAGCTGAGACAGAGCAACAACAACACAGACCTATATCACGTAAGACAGTTGTGAAACGCCTGCTTCGCCAGGTCCTCCGTAGCCCGTGGCCTCCGAACCTCTGTTCTCCGTTTGGGGTCTCATCTGACAAGAGCTGACGGCAGGTGGTAGCACCGAGCATATACGGTATACAGAGATAGCGCGCAGCCTAGAGCGCCAGAGCCCACCTTTTAACGACAAGGATGGTCTCGACTCTCGAGATCTTGCTTGCGCTGTGAGCAGTGTGAGCTGTGACCTGTGGGGATGACTGTTCGGAAGCCAACGTAGGCTCTCACGTACACCACCGCCGACGGCCACCGTAAACTGCCCCACAAACCCCCCACAACCTTTTCGGGCCGAGAGGCACGATTTGCGTTCTGCATGTACGCGTACAGTGATCTGGCTCGGCGCAAGCCCTTTTCGGGGGGGAAGGAAGGGCTTGTGTCAAGCCAGGTACAGTGATGGTGAGGGATGCAAGCGTCAAGTCCATACCAGGAAATTGCAAGACGGACCCGAGGCCTGAGGCCCGAGGAGAGTTGAACGACGTGTCTCGTCTCACAAGCGCTAGCGCCGTAGCTTTCAGCTCGATCACCGATCACAGTTTCACAGAGCTCAGTCAAACCCAGTTTGTATCACCTGGCCATCTATCTCTGGTCTTTGGTACCCGGTATATACCGTCTTCTCCTACCCGTATGAGCCGTGTAATTTCCCCGGTCGGCCGTCCACAAGGCGTCATTTACTGTTATCAAGCTATCGTCCAGTAGATATTAAGCATGGGGCCATGATGGAGGCTCCACATGCATATGCCTCGCGGTAATCGAAGGTTTCTTCACCCGGTGCACCCGGCACCCGGATGGTAGTTGAGACCCCCGATGTACATGTTGCGCGTCTGCATGGCGATGCCGAAGATGTGGCGCAAAAGATGGGAAGAGATCGAGGCGATCTTGCAGGGAGACGGACAATGCACTGGAGTATGTAGTTTTCTTGTTCGGGGTAGAGAGGTGTGCATTACGAGTGCCGCCGAGTACGTGTTGTTGGTGGCTGAATGCTACGTACGTAAATATACAGAGGGTCAAGCTTCCTTTACCGCTGTGAGTGCGTCTATATTAGGGGGCCTAAAAGCAATGGCATCAGGCATGGACTTGGGCGGGATGAGAGTTCACCCGCTTGCTCGATCAGCTGGACCAAACACTCGTCAGGTTGTGTCGCAGCAGAACGAGGGATGTAACCAAAGAATGAGACACAAGATGCGCCGAGTCCACGGCGCGGTCATCATACAGGGGAGGATTGGGCGGTGCGCTTCATGGGATCCATAGCCATGGGATCCATAGCCATGGCAAGCAAAGGACAGAGATCACAGGTCACAGAGACCAGCTTGGCGGGAAACTTGCAAGAGAATTGCCTGGTTAGTCATGTATCTCAACCTTCTGAACAGGGCAGAGAGCAAAAAGCAGCATGAGGCCGTTTCTTCGCCCTGCATGTCTTACGTCCCAGCCTACGTGAGACTTTAATGTTCGCTCCCTCTGGTCTGGCGCTACGACGCCCAAGAGAAGCGAAAAAGGCTCAAGGGGAAGAATGGATGATGACGCGAAGGGGGATTGCCACTCTTTTTAGTGGTTGAACTGGTCTTCCCTGAATGCGGAGCTTGGCGGAGAATTTACCCCTAGATACGAGGAACAGGGCCCCTTATTCGGCCTCTTCCCAGAAGTTGAAACGGCCGCCCGCCCGAAGATGGGTTTTGGGAGTTGCCAAAGCCCGAGCTCGGCCCGAGTGTCATTCAACATGGAGTTGGCTACTGGTGGCAGAGGTGGACGAACAGCCATGGGGTCATGCAGACCCGTTGTGAATGTGCTGTCCAGCTTCTGGTGCGAGAGGCTCGATGTATCCGACTCGAGCGGCCACGGGTTCCAGGTTTATCAGGTGTTTCTTGGGTTGTCAGCATCATGTCGTAACGAGATATGCATAGGTATTATCCGCTGAATCCGAGGAGGCAGGTTCGCTGTGGTCTCGAGCGCGCACAGGAGAATTGGCTCACATAGGCATATCTTGTGCGAACTTCGAAGCTTCAAGCTTCAACTCGGTCATGAGCTCTAGGCCCTCTAGCCTCTGGACATAAGGTCCTCAAAGCGCGACCCCTCCTTAAAGTGGATCGCGCCGAGCCAGCTCAAAGAGTAAGAGCCTGGCTGCAGCATCAAGTGCGCTCAACTCTTGTCTGGTCTCAATTCGGTTGTATTGCATTCAAGCTCTTTCGCTCTCGTTTGACTTGTCTTCCGCGTGCACCTCGGACAATTATTGTGTGAACACTTCTTGCGCTGAATGCTCGGGGCCAGGGTCAAAAGGCCAGGCCAGGTGTGCTGTTTTAGTATAAGCTGTACATTCAGATTGGGTGTGGCGCCACGACGGGATGGATAACGCAAGCCGAGGATGGTTGCATAAGAAAAGGAGTAAAAAGAGGCCAAGCTGGGATGGGCGTCCCAAGAATCGGGGCGGTGCGTCCCTGGAGGCACCAGGGAAAAAACCCAAAACATGTCGTCGCAGATCTCCGTGATGGCCGTGGTCGGCAGAAGAACTGGCTGCCACTTTGCCATCTGCGACTTGCACCGAGCAGCAAACATCTCATCCCTCGACATCCCAGCCACCACCATCCCACTAAACATGTCCGCCAGACCCTTCGAGGGCTTCCTTCCCCCCCAGTACCTTCCCCACACTTCCCCCAACCCCCACTCCTTCCCCCAACTGCAGACCCAGAGCCCACTCCCCGACCAGTCCGCTCCAGTTTTCCGCTCTCAGGCAACTGCGCCAGCTGCTCTCAATAGTAGCGAAAGCTTCAACGTCATGTCTGACCATGCTCCCTTCCCCCTCTACTGCCCTACCCCCAACCTGACGCCTGTCTATCCGTCTTCTAGGTCCACAAGCTGTTACTCGGATGGTAGTATCTGCTTTACTCCGCAGGACGTGCCCAACTTCTTCCCAGAGTATAGCAACTTTGGTCCAAAACGTCGCCACACTTACCTCGAAGACGACTCGCGCTCTGCCGACACGTTTGTCAAGCCCAACACCACTTCTGCTTTCTATGGCGGCGAGGGTTCGTACATGGTGCCCGACACGCGAATATTTTCAGAGCCCCTTGAAATGTCTCGTCATCGACACAATATCGTGCCCGACAGTGGGGACAGATCTACATCCTTTGAGGAAGCCAAGACGGTTCCCATGGGTGGCATGCTGCGCTTGGCTGAAGAAGACGAATTCGAGGCCAGTCCGAAGCGCCCCAAGCTGGCGACGTCCCCTTCGTCCCCGGACGTGCCTTTGATAGCCAGGCGGACGAGAAGTGTCCAGGCGTGCGATCATTGCAGACGTCGCAAAGCGAGGGCGAGTCTTCTGTTTCTACTTCAACTTGACATGCTGACGATTCATAGTGCGTTGGCCGCGACCCATGCGAACGCTGTGCGAAAAGCAGACGCCCCTGCGTCTTCTCCCCCGTCCACCTCACTCGCCCCTCCTCTCGTCCGAGCGCCACTCGCAGACCATCTGGTCTCTCCACCTCCGCTCCCATATCCACCTCCCCCATCCGCCGGCACAGTCTCGAGTCTCCCACCACCTCTCTCTCAGCTGGCCCATCATCGCGGCCACCGGGCGGCGAATCACCCTGGCTGCCCATATCCCCACAAGTCCCCAATAGCACGGGCCTAGAACTGCAATTACATCCCGCCATGACCTCTGCATCCCCTTCATCGTCCTACCCTTTGACACCAAATTACTCTTACTACCCCGGTGGTCCTCCCGGTACAGAGTTTCCTCAAGGTCTAGCCAGATCCGGCTTGGGCTTGGGCATGTCTCTGGGTGGGCCGAGGGGTTATGGGAGCTATGATGGCGGGGTGAGGGATGATGCCAGCTGGACGGGCTCGGGAACGACAGATAGCAGTAGCGCCAGACCACACAGTAGTGGAGACATGGGAGGCGCCGGGCAGGCTTTGTGGAGTTATTGAATTCTGCCTGTTTAGGTCAATGTTTGTGTCTCTCATTCGTGAATCACAGTAATGGTGTCAACACGGTAGTTGGATTCCATATTACATCCTAGTCTCTTTCTCTTTCGATAATTTCCGGTGGATATTCTCTAACAGGCCATGGTTTTTGTATCGTTGTAGAAATAATTCTCTTTATTGCCCCTAGTGGTGGATACATGTAGTCGTAGACTTATCGTAGGAAGCGCTCCATCGGGTAGTACCCGCAGTAATGTATCATGTGTGGTGATTGCGAAGCTTGCGAGGGTCTTGTTGACAATTTGGCCGGAAGGAGAAATATCTTCTTCACATCATCCAACTTAGGTCCATGTTGGGTGACATTCAGCGGGACCAAAACGACACTAAGTGGCTTACATAAGCAGGTAATGTCGACGCGTCCGGCGCGACATGCACCACAACAAATGTCTTTGAATTTCAACCCATTTCCCATTTTTCCGTAATATCTTTGGTGTCTCACAAAGTTGCTCTTATTTTTCTTTCCATTGATCCGGTGACTTGGTGACTTCCAGAGTTTCCGAAAGTCTCAACAACAACATGTCGACGCTCGCAACAGCTGACTTGTCTTCGGACGAGGAAGATGTCGACTTTGTTCCCGCGGCTCCCAAGACCAAGCGTCCTCGCGAGACAAAAGGCAAGACAAAGAAGGCCAAAAGCTCGGGATCTGCTTCCGATAGCTCTTCATGCTCGTCCAGCGACGAGGAATCTGGCGATGAGGAAGAAGGAGATGAAGAAGAACGGATAGCGAAGAAGGCAAAGATTGAAGAGAAGGAGAAGGATGAAGCTGAAGAGAGGCGGCGGAAGGCGAGAGAAGAGTTTGAAAAGATGAAGGCTGAAGCGGCGGGACCGGCAGAGGTTAGGCAGGCGGAGGAGGAGATGGTGGAAATCCAGCGGCCGAGGCGATTTGCTGGGGAGACGATCTTGTGAGATCAACACTCGGTCATCATTGAGGCATGCGCTGACGAAGAAACAAGAGAGACTGTCAAATTACGGGCATCTGACCCAGAAGCTATAGCCTACTTTGAAAAACTGAAGAATGGAGACGAGAAACCGGTTCTTCCTGCTGAAGAGTCGGTAACAACACCCGAGACCCCTCTCGCAGAAACTTCTGCATCTCCCATCTCTCCCGCCCCCCAAGCGCCCAAACCGAAAGGACCTCCTCGGCGCAAGCGTCAAACACTTGAGCAGATGTCTGCTGCATTGGACAAGGGCAAGAAAATGACTACTCTTGAAAAGGTGCGCGATCCTTATTTGTTGACTTAAAAGCCCTTGCTGACAGCCTCCAAAACAGTCTCAAATGGACTGGAAAAGTCACACGTCGTCAAGTACGAAAATGGAGGATGAACTCGCCGCCAACCGACGGAGCGGTGGATATCTTGCCAATCGGGATTTCCTGGACCGCGTCGGGGAGAGGAAGTCGGAGACGTATGATCAGCAGGGGACCCGGAAGAGATAAGGTATTTACGTCCAGAGGCGCATTTGTTGTATCAAGTACAGGTCATTGCCATCACATGGATGCAAGTATGAGTATTCATCTAATTATGTGGTTCATCTACAACTGACTTTTAGAACCGGGATGTTTCGTTCGGGGCATATATGAAGACGTAAATTACGCATGAGGGGGCATTAAACAGGCATGAAAGGAGGAAGGCACCAAGGTACGTGTATGAAGCAAGTCGAACAAGAGAATGGGTATCAAAGCAAGCGCAAAAGTCCATTGAGACCTCGACAGAAACCACACGACAGACAATCAGATCATCATTCTGCCCCCTCCTTCAATCCACTCTTCTTCTTGCTTCTCCTCCGCCTCACTCCGTTTCCTCGTTTTGAGCTTCCCCTGCCTCTTTTCGAGCTGTCCGGGAGGCTTTGCGGGCAAAACTCGTCGCCGTCAAGCACTAGTTCTCTGGGAGTTGTAGCTTGCGGGCTTTGGATCGCTAATTGAGGGATGCGCCGGGGAGTAGAGAGGAGGTGGGAGGGAATGGCGGGCACCGGTGGGGCGGGTGTAGGGGCGACGGGGAGCAGAAGAGCAGCCTGCAGAGACTTGATGGATCTCTGCTTTCTGGGTCCGCGTACCGTCCCCGTTGAGACAGAGGAAGACTGCTTGGCTTTGGGGGTTTCGGGTTCGCCGGCTCTAGCTCTTGGAGGAGTAGAGGGCTTGTAAAAGAATGACTTTGACCAGTCAATCTCGCCATATTCCGTCGACTGGGCAACCTCGGCCTCTGCCTTTCCAGTCTTCCTCATCGGGCTCCAGCCAGCAAACTCTTCGCCCTGCTGTTTCCAATCCAGTCTCGGGGACAGAACCAGCCCATCTCCCTCCACAGCAGACGCATTTCCCAAGAACGCCTGACGCAACTTGGCGAGTGACGGTCGGTAGCGAAGGAGGGAAGAGCCTTCTGTGGGTGAAGGTACAGGAGGAAGATCTTCGGCATCTGTAGATACAGAGTCGCACAGTACAGGAGAAGCAGTGACGAGTCGAGGCTGAGCGGGTGCGGCGGTAGAGACACGGAGAGAGGGAGGTGGGCGAACTTTGATTTGCGAGGATGTGGAAGGAGTAGGACCAAGAAGGGCGCTTCGGATGGAACCCAACCAGCCGGAAGGCAAGGCTGGAGGAGCCGTCTCGGCCTTTTTCAGGTTGGGTGTCGAGTGGGCCAGGCGAATCTTGGCAGCTCTATCGCCGTACTTGAGCGGCTTCTTCACCTCTTCCACTGGCGTCTCGCGCGGAGCTTCGACTGATTTCGGGGGAGAAGGCATAGGGATAGTGGGCGCTTCGCCAGAGCTCGGCGTCTCCACCATCACCTTCGGCAGGGACCACGTCCTGATAGGCTCCTGCTCCTCCTCGTCCTCCGATTCTCCATCATACTCTACAGCTCCAGCCAACAACCTCTGTCCAACATCATTCACCTCATTCAAGAGCTCGCCGTCCATCTCATCCTGAAATTGGCGGATCTCTCGCTCTGCCCGGTCATCGCTTGGTGTTCTACTGTGACCGGAGAAGCCCGAGCGGATAGAAGGAGTAGCAGAGCCAGATCCGAGCGAGTAGGCGTCGTAGTCGTTGGCGCCCATGGCATACAGAGCTTCGTCCTCTGCGCACTGAGCCTCATAGTCATCGGGGAGAGGGCAGTACCCGAATGCATCATCAGGCAGCGCCGGCGGGGGAGGTGGGGAAGAGAATATGCTCTTGTCGAGAGGTTTTGTGGTGGACTTTGTGGGGGTGTAGCCGATGGCGGATGTCATCTCTTGAGGACTGCTGACCTGCCTCAAGTTCGGTAGTGGTGGTCTCTCCTCTTGCAGAGGTGAATCCGTCTCTGCCCGCCGTGTCCTTCCCGACTCGAGCTCCCATGTCGACTTTATCTTTCGCACTCCGTCTCCGTTCCTCGCCAGGCTGAGCCCGACCTCTGTAGATGGTTCAGGGGGCGACATTCTCGGGTTCTTGCCCCATGCCGCCCACCAAGATTGATCCGGGCCGTTCGACCCGACAGATGCCGCCGACCGCGCAGCAGCTTGGACAGCAAGCGACCGCAGGATAGACGTTGACCGCTTCATAGGCATCATGGGCTCTGTCACATTCTGATGCGCATGCTGCACCCCACGGTCAAATCCGTACGTCCCATAAAGGGCATCCACCTCTTCCTCATTCTCATCCAGTGTCTTTTTGATATTTCTCCGGATCTTCTCAGCTTCGGGAGTGTATACCCTGGTCTCCTTGTACCCGGCTTTTTGGAGGAGTTCTTGGAGTGAAGAGTACTCGTGTAGCGGGGCCAAAGCGTCTGGGGGTGAGGCAATATCGGAGTCGATTGAGGGAGTGGGATATGTACGTGGTGGGCGAGAGGGGCCACGGCTTGCTTTAGACAGTGAAGCAGGGTAGGTGTGGATCGCGGTCGGCGTTTGGGGAGTGGGAGCCATTGCGGATGGGGATACAGGAAGCTGTAGGGCACTGTTAGGGGGGTCTGGCGTGGTGGTATTGTACTCACGGGAGAGCACGTTCTCTCGCGCTACGATACACAGGTAGGATAAGAGAAGACAGGGAATAGCAGGTGATATAATAGTAGATGTAAAATAGATGTAGAAATAGATGTGAATGATTCAACGATGCAATGGACGTCCCACTTGCGGCTTGTTTGTGCGCCGATTCCAGGAACACCGCTTGCAACTCCCTGACTGGGCGGCGTGGCGAGTCGTCTTTCGAAGGGTAGGGCAGTGGGGGCTGTATGTATGGCCTACACAGGGTATGCCTTCAAAGGAGGGTACGATGGATGCATACATGGGCCATTCACCGTCAGGCGTCATCCATTCACTGCAGAGCTGAGACAAACAAACAAAATAATGGCCCGCTCAGGGTCGGAAAAAGGTCAGTCGCGTGCGTTGGCCTTGAAAATGTCGCGCCCATTGTGACATGTCCCTCGAGCTGTTGCGATGCCCTTGAATTTCCAGATGATAGCGGGATCATGGACGCTAGAATGTGAACTCGGCTTTGGCCGACGCTGCGTCTGCCGCCACGCTTGTCGTCGAATATCATTCAACTTGCATCACACAAGTCAAACCCAGGACTCTCAAAATCGACCGGAGCCCCCTATAAGTTATATGCGGCTATGAGTCTCTCCATTCTCAGCGATTGCCGACACAGCGGACATTCCAGCTATATCAGGGGTGAGCACGGCACGGCCACGCATGTTAAGACGAACCTTTTCCAGCCCACCCAGACAGCCCCAGCAAAAGATATGACCGCACTCTGTGACAGCGACAGTACCTCCACTGCCTTCCCCTGTACCCCGCGGCTCTAGGCATAGCGTACACTGTCTTTCGGGCAGCGCGATTGCGTTTTGCGTCAGATACGTGTTGCGTTTGTCGTACTCGGCTGAAGATGACATCAGGACCGTCTGCCCTGCCGTCTTGGGAGCTCCCACGGGCTCTGCAAGGGTTGGCGATTCTTCAGAATCCCCTGCCAGTGTTCCGCGAGTAGCCTGAGGAAGTATCGCGCTTTGATCTTCCGTTTGCCGGCGCGGCAGAAGACGGTATAGGAATGGTAAGAGCATGAGCAGGCCGAGGGGTTCGTATGACGCTTGCCGTTGCTCGGGACGTCGTGGTGGGAGAGTCGATATCTAATAGACATGAGTACATATCCACGACACACCTTTAGGTGAGACTCACATATGATATACCTGTCAGCCGCCGAGCAAACTCGAAGAACCTTCCTCTGAATAAGAAGAGTATCATGTGCAGTTCTGGCAGGGCTCTCCCCACCGGCGACTCGAGAAACTTGGCCAGCTTTTCTCTCGTCATTGTCCATCTTGACTCAGGACCACTATTTGGACGCTGGACAGGAGCCGGCCGTATATAGTTTGTAGAGGCTGGGGAGACGAGCAGAGTCGGCAGAAGGAGTAAGAGGATGGTCAGGAATCTCGACTACGAAGTATATGAGTAACGGCCAAGTACAGTATCTCAGTACTCACTCTTCTAGACGGCAGATTTCTCCGTCTCGTAGAGTATGGTAGAATATCGGTATATTCCTCCCCGAGCGTCTGGCTGCCTCGACCAAAAGTCAAAGTCAGGTAGACGCCTCTGACGAGGAGGTCGACCAGAGTCTGCCTGTGTGTCAACCATTGTGTCCCTGCAGACCTGCTCAGTATATGTATTGCTGTCAAAGCTCCTAAGTCTCACCTGCAAGCGATCTCAATATTTCAGACACCAGCTCGGTCAGCCGATACACCTGCGCTGTATCTCTCTGATGTGCCCGTACTGCAGCTGGGTGTCAGCTCTTACAAGCGATACAAGTACGGGTGCTCACATATTTGTGCTTGTGAGGCGGCTTCAAAAGAGACATTGGCGTATGCGTCGACAGCTTCCTGTGTAGGAGGTGCGGGGTGTCGGGAGGAGGAAGCGACTGGGGCATCCATTGACGGTCTGTGTCGATGAAAGTTGTGTAACTTTTGGGCGTAGGTTGCGGCTTGATATATCGCCTTGTCATCCAGATATACTTCAAGATAGACAGTCACAATGTAACCTCCAAATCACCATCCACCCCATTGCTCAGCCCGTCGCGTCGGTAAGAGATGGGTAGCCGACTTACGTAACCAATTCGACATCTGTTAGGTGGCAAAGAATTCGATGTTTTCACTCTTTTCTCGTTCTCTTTACGCTCTCTGTCTCGACTATCCACCCCCATACGATCTTCTGGCACCTTGCGAGGGTCATACGATCATGACTTTCACCGACTATCCGACTTTCTCGAACAGCCCGTTCTTCTATGACCCGCGGAACCCGATTGTGCCAGAGACGGAGGAAGGTCACGTCCGAGTCAGTAGCTGTTTCTATCGAAGGAAAACATATGGGGGCTAATGATAGATGGATGTAGGCACACTCAAATCCAACAGTAGCGTACTACCACCCGAAAAACGTCGGAAACTACCATTATGGAGTGAGTTTTCGTCTTGATGGTTGTCACTCTGCCTCCTTACTAATCGTTGGATCGCAGGAACGGCATCCAATGCGTCCACATCGACTGGAGCTTACCAACCAGCTGGTACTGAGCTATGGGCTACACGAAAAGATGTCGTATCACGCGCCAAGGGCTGCAACAGAGGAAGAGTTACTGGAATTTCATGAGGCCGACTATGTAGAATTTCTGAAAAGGTGAGTGCTTTTTTGGCACATCGTGACAGCTGGTTCAACAACGTCCCAGAGTGACACCCAAAAACGCTCAAAACCTCACCAAAGACTGGACCAAGTTCAACGTGGGCGACGATTGTCCCATCTTTCACGACCTCTTTTCATTCTGCAAGCAGTACGCTGGTGGATCCCTTGCGGCCGCGCGAAAGCTGTCGAGCGGTTCTGCGGATATTGCGATCAATTGGAGTGGAGGACTACATCATGCAAAGAAGGGAGAGGCGAGCGGGTTTTGTTATGTGAATGATATCGTGCTGGGCATCTTGGAGCTGTTAAGGTCAGTACGCGCGCTTCTGCGATTCAGGAAAAGCTGACGAGTCACAGAGTACATCCCCGAGTGCTCTATATCGATATAGACATTCATCATGGTGATGGTGTCCAGGAAGCTTTCTACCTCTCCAATCGTGTCCTCACCGTCTCCTTTCACAAATACGCCGCCGACTTCTTCCCCAATACCGGCAACCTCTCTGAAATAGGTTCAGACTTGGGCAAATACTTTTGCCTGAACGTGCCACTACAAGATGGAATAGACGACGAATCGTACATCTCATTGTTCAAGGCGGTGATGGAGCCTACAATCACCATCTTCAGCCCGTCGGCTATCGTATTACAATGCGGAGCCGATTCCTTGGGTTGTGATCGGTTAGGGACTTTCAACCTCTCTATCGCCGCTCATGGCGAGTGCGTGAGGTTTATAAAATCCTTTGGCCTTCCCCTCCTTACTGTGGGTGGTGGCGGATACCGACAATCTTCCGTATCACGTTGTTGGACATACGAAACCGGTGTCCTCGCCGGCGTTCAGCTCTCCAACGACCTCCCTCCATCCAACTACTACGAGTTCTTCGGTCCCGACTACAGCCTGCATCCTCCTCTCACCGGCAAGATCCAAAATTTGAACACTCCCAAATCTCTCGAACGTATACGAATATCCATCCGAGAGAAGCTGCGGTATCTGGGCGGAGCGCCCAGTGTGCAGATGCAGGAGATACCGCCGGATCTGCAGGGCTTGCTGGCGGATGCGGAGAAGAATGGAGGAGAGAGGATGGATGAGCGGGCAGAAGAGCGCAGAGAAGGGAAGGGAAAGGAGACCGACTGGCTGGCTAGAGAAGTCGGGGGTAGCGGCGATGGGACGGGGTCGGGGAGGTACTTTGGCGGAGCAAGAAGAAAAACATGACAAGGATCTGTGCAAATATACCTGGCATACATTCATACCTAGGAGTGTTTCTATAAAAGTAGTCGTTGAATGGCTTGGTTGTATCTGTTGTAGGTTACCTTGAAAAAGTAAGCCACGCAATGAAGCGTGCAAAATGCGAATCCATGTCTGAGCAAGGGCTGCCGTTGTGTCAAACGCATCAGACCGGTGTTTGTGAATATAAAGCACTCAACAGGTATCTTCTCATCCACCAGATGGCATTATCTCTTCAGGTCTCCTAACGTGAGCGACCACGTCCGGTGGGCGAGTGTGTATTTGCACCTCATGAGATGTCATATCGCCCATGTCTAAGATATGTCCCTTGCCCGACTTGCGTCTAATGTTGGTACAAGTACAATGTAAACCCAATCGAAAGTAAACCCTACTACTAGAAATCGGCGCTTTCAGAAGCTCTATAGCAGTTTTCCGTGTGTACTCCTCTTTCTCCACCTCCGCGCCGCCCACCCGACCGCTAGCACGCTAGCACTGACCAGAATCAACTTGACGACCCCTAGCAACGTCCACTCGTCTCCTCCGTCGACACCGTATCTCGCCCGATGACTCAACCGTCTCAGACTCTCGCCCTCTATCCCAGGATGCGAGTGGTCATCCACTTGATGGACGCTGTGGTCTTCTGGGATACCGCCTGCGCGGAGAGACGCCTCTTTCAGAGCATCAATATCAAAAGCTTGATCGGCTGGTTGGATTGACAGTTCGAGTTTGTGACGGACGTCAAGGAGGATGTCGTATTGCCAGTCCTACGAGCCATGAGCCGATGGTAATGATATTGGTGAACGAACGTACCATGACGGAAGCAGTCTCTGTGTCCCAAGACTGTATGGCAGTACGCAGCTGATTAGCAGCCTCAGCGTGCGCCTTTTGGGTGAATTGCAGATGCTCCATGCGTCTTTGCAGCTTTTCCAGATGAGATCTAATCCTTGTCAGTTTGTTTGACACCTATATGTAGTCACAAGACTCACGACATCTTTGGGTCAAGAGCAGCTGCAGAGCCAGGTTCCCCACCCTCGCTCTGCACCTTTGAACCAAGGACATCAACCCTTCTGTTCAAATGGTCAATAGCCTCCATCATTCTCTGGTGAGAATGCTCCAGAATATCGTCCATCATGTCTGATCCCGTGGCAAACATGTGTCCCCCGGCAGTTTCTGCCTCTTCTGTCCCTGCCTCTAGTTCTTCTGTAGAGTCATCTACTTGATCTTTGGCGTCTCGTTCGTTTTCTGATGGGCTTCCGAGATCATGGGGTAAGGGAGGGAGGTCGTGCTTGGGAGGATTACTCTTGTCGTAGATCCCATCAATGCAGACCACTAGGTACCCAATCAGCGCATGTTTAGAAGAAAGAGAGGCAGGCTTACGATATTGGAAATCGTGGTCCGCAAAGCCGATCTGGAAAGTACTATCCTCAATAGTCGGCGCGTTATACAGCAGCCCCATGGGATCAGGGTTCACAGGCTCGTCAAAGCATCTCGCACTCTTGCTCCCCTCATGCTTTGCTTCATCCCAGTTATCCTTCACTGTCCACTTTTTCAATCCCGCGGCCGCGATACCGTAGCCCATGTATCGTCCTTTCAGACCGTTGCCGATCACACTACCGCCCGTGAGGACCGTCTCGGTGTCGTCGGACCAGACTGTGGGGCCGATTCCGATACCGACCCGGATGGTGCGCGAGGCGGCATCGATAATGTTGGATTTGACGACGACGCCAGAGTAGTCTCCGTCAAAGGGTGTAGAGTCGACGAGGAGGATACCTGCCATGGCGGAGAGACCGCGGGCAAAGATGTGGTTGGCGTGGATAAGTGTACCTGGCGAGCAGTAGACGACGACTGCAGCGTCGGTATTGTCGTAGAAGGTATTGTCCCGGACGAAAGAGTCTCGACAGGCGATAGAGACACCATCTGCCAACGGTCTACCGAGAGGCGACATTTCGGGATCGTCCCCGTCTTTCTCTGGGTCAAACTCTTCTCCCACAGGACCGATCTCGTTCTTTTCGATCACAGCCCCTGTACACTGGAGCTTGTCGCCTTCCCGAATATGGATAGCAGTAAAGCCGCGGGGATGCTTGATCCAAGACTCCTGGACGCTTTGCCCTTCGTTCCCACCCAAGACGACCAAACCCGTGGCAAGGCCGACATCCTTCATCCGGCCCAGCTTCTTTCTGTTTCCATCTACCACCACATTCTTGACCGATACTCGAGCACATCTCCGGCAGTCTCCTTGGATAGCTGTGGCAGAATCTCGTCCCTCGACTCGGAGAACAGCACGTTCGGATCCCGTCGGGTACCCGTACGTTGCGAGCTCTTGGTCGGCAGCTGTAAAAACGATGGGGCCGGATAGCCGATACAGGCGATTGGGACAGAGCAGCACTTTGGCGCCAGGTCCACCGTCGATGAACAATTGGTTGATAGAGTCATAGTCGGCAAAGCGGACGCATGGTTGCGCAGCCGAGACGATTGCCAGCAGGGAGAGCAAGAGGGCGAAAAACAGGGGATGGGGCATGGAACCTGACGTTGGAGCTGATTTCCATGCGTTTTCCTGCGACTCTTGGGGAGTGCTGGAGGACGAGCAAGTATGGGCGCGCCGACGTTTGCGCTTTGATAGAATTCGAGGAAGATCGCCCTGTTGGGCGACTGTTGAGGGGATCATTTTATGAGATGTAGGACATCCAGCGAGGGCGATTGGTGGGCCCGGTTGGATGCTTGAGATTGTCGGGTAAGAGGAAAAGATTGAAGTGATGATGCAAACAGGAGTGTCACCTTCTGAGACCGAAAACAGACTGACAGTAGCGCGGTAGCACCGAAACCTAACGAGACAGACCCTGGCTTTGTGTTTGCAAGTCCGAATCGTAATCCCCTTCCGCTTTTTGTAATCAGACGCGTATCTGTAATGAAGGACGCGCCGGTGGAGGCAGGCCCGGATGCTGCCCGGATCTCGCAGTACCTGATCCTCGTGCCGTCCTCGTGCAGTCCTCGTGTTGATGGTCGTCAAGCAGACCCATCACGCAGCTATAAGAACGATCCTCGACTGCTGTCTTTCGCTCTTTCCTCATCTCGCTTTCGACCATAAGATGTCGGCAGCAATTCCAAACGACCCAGCGGCTAAAGGTCAACTCGACGACAAGCGTCCCGATGATAGACAACCCCACATGGTGTTTGATACTGTCGATCTTGATGTCGGTACGTGAATCATTGTCATCAGCAATCAAAGTGCTGATCCGCTGCAAAGTGGTCAAAGTCCTTTCCAAGACGATATTCTCGCCCATGTTTGTGGTCTTTCTGCCTCTGACACTCCTCTCGCAAGTCGGGTCCTCCCACCCAGCATTCTTGGCAACCTGTGTCTGGACCGCTATCATATGCTTTCTTGGTAAGCTCTATCTCAACAACATCGATTGTGTCTGACAGGTGGTAGCCCTGTGGAAACACGTCGACAGGATATATGCCAATCAGGCTACTTGGTTGCTCGCTCCTCCAAAGCTGAAATGGGATGACCAGATAGTGCTTATCACCGGGGGCGGTTCAGGAATTGGTGCTCTACTAGCAGAGACCCTCGCTATGAGAAACGTATCAGTGGTCGTTCTGACCAAATATCCTCCACAGTACGAGACGATCAATGGTAAGCATCTGCATTTCGGCAAGACATCTCAGCTAACGTCCGCATAGAGAACATCTATACCTATATATGCGACGTATCAGACTTCAAGACTGTTCAGACGGTAGCAGAGCGGGTCAGGGAAGAAGTCGGCGACCCTACTGTCATTGTGAACAATGCCGGTATAGTTAAAGGGAAGCTTCTTCTAGACTTGACCGAAGAGGACGTGCAGACGTAAGTACTGCATCAGTATTGCAAGCAACTGCTCACACGCTCTCAGCACTTTTGGATGCAACACTCTTGCAAACTTTTGGGTTTTGAAGGCCTTCCTTCCTGCCATGCTACGCAAGGGCCAAGGCCACATCATCACCGTCTCAAGTCTTCTCGGCCTCCTTGGAGCTGCTCAGATGTGTGAGTACCGTCTCTTCGGTATGCCAGTGACATGTGCTGACCCACTTTAGCCGACTACTGTGCGAGCAAAGCCGCTTTGATCAGTCTTCACCAAACTCTCCGCTTCGAGCTCGATAACAGATACAAAACGCCTGCTATCCGCACCACCCTCGTTCTCCCGGCGTACATCCTCACCGCCCTCTTTGATCGGATCAGGTTCCCCACCGGCCGTGTCTTTGATTTCTTCTGCCCTCCCGTACCGCCGCACGCTATCGTCAAGCAGATCATCTCGGCCCTCGATGCGAATGAGAGTAGAGTGATCAGGCTACCTTTCTATACGAATCTGGCGAGGTTCAGTGGGGATGGGGTGGGACTTGTGCCAGCTTGGATGAGGGATCTCATGCAGTGGTTGTTGGGAGCAGACCATGTCATGAAGGGGTACGGGCCAAGTCCGGATGCTGGAGAGCGACTTGAGGTTGAAAGGTTGCAACAGCAACAAGGTCATGGGGTTAATGAGAAATGATGATAGAATCCAGAGATGTCCTCTGGATACGACTAGACTCTTGTCATGAAAAGTTATGATAGAATCCAAAGATGTTCTCTAGATACGACTAGACTCTTGTCATGAATGATACATGCTCTACTCTTCATCCGCCCCCGATATCTCATTCTCGTCTGCCCCAAGTAGCCAGCCCACTCCCCTGACCAAAGCTCTCCTAGCGCCCTTCCTCACCCTCTCAGCCTCCTCTCTCCCGAGATGATCGAACAGCTCCCTTGTGCCCGTTGAGCCTGGAGTGCCCACAGAATAGCCAGCGTCCGAACCTCCGTCACTCTCCACCCTGGAATCTCTCGATGAAGACCGCAGCAGGGCGTTCGAGCCAAACGGCGAGCTTAGCGTGGCAGCGGACAATAGCGAGGGCGATGGGAGCTGTCGATTCGTCCAGCGCCCGCCAATGTCCAAAGCAAGCTTGGCAGCTTTCGCTGCAGTGCGGGAACCGAGTACTCGCTCTTCTTCCGACACGCCCAGAGCTGAAGCCTCAGAAGGCAGCTTTGGAGCTTCGATTCCCTCCAGTCGCCGTCTCTTTGCAGCTTGGTCAAGCTTGGCTTGTCCGCTCTCGACTTGTCTGAAAGTTTCGAGTATAGATGGGATCGCCTCGGAGGGACACAGCTCGAGGGCGATGGAGATGAATTCCCTTTTGGTGAGGATGTCTGAAAAGTCTGGACGAGAGGCGATCAAGTGGGCCAAAGTGTAGGTCTCTGCGATGAGCTTGGCATCGGGGTCCGCAGTAGCCAGATCCTTCCCGGCTGCCTTGCCTTTCCCTTTCGTCTGTATCACACGTTGCTTGGCGACAGTCGCCATACTCTCCACTGCCCCCTTTCCCGTTTCCCAATCTTCATTCTCGACCGCAGACCTGCCCACCATACCCCATACCAATCCCTTCTCCACTTGACTCTGGCAGCCTAGTTTGCTGGCGAGGTCGAGCATGAGATCAGGATACCTGTAGGCGTCGCTGGAAGAGCCGCAGAGAACGGCGGAGATGAGGGTCAGGGGTTCTGTAGTCGCGCGTATTTGAGAGGGTGTGAGGTTGAATGAGGAGAAGGAGGACAGGCGGGAGGTGGCTTCGATGTATTCTCGCTCGAATGTGATTGCCTTTGAAGAGGGAGCCACTAGCAGGCTATGAACAGGATCAGCTTTCAGGTCTGGGACCAATTAGGATACTCACCAATCATATGCAAGCTTCATGTTACCCGAGTGCAAGTTGCCGCTCTTGGCAGAGATATAAAACTCTCTCGACGTCTCCAAGACGACTTTTTCAATAGTGACGGCATCAACTGCTCCATCACCCTGTAACCTCTTGATCATCTTTCGAGTAATGTCAAAATCTCTCACGGCGTCAGCTCGGCTCACTCGACACTAGTTGATACTCACTACCCGAGCTCAAAAGACCGCCAAGGTATATTCTTCCCCTTTCCTGCAGCGTCAAAGTCCCCAGCGCTCCCTTCAGTAGCCCCTCCCCACTCGCGAGCCTTTGCATATCATCCCACAGCCTCCGCCATCCCTCTTCCCTCGCACCAGCCAAAGAGCTCCCGCCCTGCCTCACCAGCTTGTTGGCCAGATCTGTTTGCTCCTTCTTGTCGCCGGTAACGCCCAATAGCTCGCCTAACCGTTGCTCGACGCCCCACCTTGCGAGGATCTCGCCGCTCTCCAGTTGAACATCCAAAATATCCAGCGCTCTGGACAAGGAGGCAAAGGGAAGGGGGTGGAAAAAGATAAGAAGGTCTTTCTTCGTTGGCGGTTCTGTTGCAGAGGCCGAGGGACGTACAAAAGCCGATATAGAGTCGATGGTGGTGCTAGTGAGCTCCTCATCCGCCGCATCGGCTCCCGTAAGCTCCCAAACAGGCAGACACTCGAATATACTCGACATGCTGCCCCAGACGACACTCCCTCGTTCTTGGCTGCCATACAAACAGGCCAAGGCGAGGCGCGCAACCTCAAGATCGTTCTTGATGATTCTCTCGGCTGTTGGGATGGTGGCTTTGGAGGCTTCGAAGACGGGTAAAGCGAGGTGAAGAGGTAGAGAAAGGATAGCAGAGTTGAGACAGTCTTCTACGAGTTTGGAAGACGGTTTGCCAGCTCTTTCCGCTCGAGATTCGAGTACGTAAAGATAAGGCATCAGAAGACTCCGGATGTCGCCTGCGATACTTTCGGGTACTGATCCAGACAAGTAGGCGTTGACGACATCGTCCTCTTGTGCTGATCGCCAACTGGCAAGATTCCAGCGAGCATGTTGCTCGGGTGTGAGGTTGCCGTCGTATACCAGCCTAGACAAGAGGGAGAGGTCTTCGCCTAGAGAGTCCAGAGAAGGAACGCCGAGGGAAGCACCATGCTGGACCCAGGCGAGCTGGATATCAAGCAGGCCTAGCGAGTCTAGGGACAAGGTGTGGGAGGTGTACCATCCGGCAAGATCTTCGCTTGACATGGGCGTTGGGCGGGATGGGAGAGAAACAGGCGTTGCGCTGAGGGACAATGGGATATAAAGACCCTTGATAATCGCAGGAGGTGGTGGGAGAGCTTCGTCGGCTGCAAGCGGTGCCACCCACGTCTCTACATCCTCTGCGCCGAGCTTTGGCAGCAAGTCCACCTCTAGGAGCTCGCTGGGCTGGACCCACCCCGGAACAGCTTCCAGGATGGAGAAACGGTAAGGATACAGCTCTTGCCAGTGTCTTTGACAGATCGTTTGTAGAGCTCCGAGAGCCACTGCTGATGCAAGCTCTAGGGCGGATAGCGGGAGAGGTTGAGTAAGGAAATGGAAGAGGCTCAGAGGGAGAGACTCGATCTCTGACTGCTCAGATTCTTCTTCTTCGTCTGCTTCAGATACCTCTTTGGTAGAAATCTTTGGTGATTGCTCAGCCCAAGGATCGTCCAAGATTGTCGTGCGCTCTTCGCCTTCATCTTCTCCCCAAGGATCGTCCAGCTCGATTTCCTCCTCGGCCTCCTCCTCCTTCTTCCCTTCCTCAAGCTCCTTCTCATTGATAGAACTGGCCACAGGGGGCGGCTGCAACAACTCCCACGTGTCCAGCCGCCGCCTCATTTCGTCCAGCCCCAAATACGCCTCCACCGCTGCCTCCCTCTCTCCCACCATTCCTCTAATGTCTTCCTCGGCCGC